AGTTGGGGGCCCCTCCAACTCTGAGTTGGGCACTGCCGGGCAGTACGCATTTTTCCTGCCTGGAGTTTGGGGTTTCCCCAGTGATGTTGGAGTCACAGACCACATGCCAGGTAGCCGTAGGCCTGCTGGAGCCAGTGGACATTGGCGGCTCCTTCTTCACATCCAGCCTGGTGAGGGTCTGGCTGAGGGGAGAGGCTCAGCTAGGCTCTCTTTGAAGAAGGTGGGGAGTCTGAGCTCCCTACTTCAAACCCTCCCCTCCAACCCTCGCAAGTTCCCATCCCCCTACTAGTTCCCATCCCCCACCCCCAGCCAGTTCCCAGCCCTTGAGCTGATTCTTGGCCATCTCTAGCCCCATTAATGGGGCCAATCACTGGAGACCTTTAGGGGCATGGGGGGGGTGTAAGACTGCAGGACTGAGACTCAGTAAAGTCTGAGAGCTTCCAGAGTAAAGCAGGGTCCCCTCCCATGTCCCATCAGCCCCTTTCGCTGCCCCCCATGAAGGGCAGCTCAGTGCCTGGCTAAGCCCTCCATTCAATAGCTGTTGCTGCACACATCCCAGTGGACTCGCCTGACCAGTGCAGGCCACAAGCTGGTCTTTGTGAGCTCGCCCTCTCACGTGGCCGTGCCAAGAGGGGCTGACCTGCATTCTGCGCAGCTGGAAATACCCCCCAGGGGCTTGGGCCCCCTTGGCCACCAAAGAGAGATGGAGCTGGCATGAATGCAACATCCTGATTGGGGAAGGGCAGGCCCTGGGGAGACAGCTGCGCATGTGAAAAAGTCAGTCATTCATGCGCTTACTCAATAGATGCTCAGTGAGCCCCTGCTCAGTGTTGGGCCCTGGGGTGAAGACTTGTACTGAGGCACATGACTCTTACCCTTTTCAGGGGGAAAAGACTGGCTGGAAATATTTTGTATTGGAGTCATTTGGGGAGCCTAGCCCCAGTTTCTGATTCAACAGGTCTCAGTTGGGGCAACGGAATTTCTAAGTTCCCTAGTGATACTGTTGATAGCCAGGGACCAGGCTTTGAGAGTCACTGTGATTTGGGACCAAAAGGAGGAGTTATGTGTGATTTATGTCTTCAAAACTTTTATGATTGCATTTACCTTTATATATATATATATATATATATGTATATTTAGGGGCCTCCCTGGTGGCGCAAGGGTTAAAGTATGAAGTTTTCCACAGCCACTGCAGCACAAGGTCAATCCCTGGTCAGGGAGGCTACTCACCCAGCCCCCCCATTCTTCTCCTGACCCGCCCACTGCTCCCTTCAACAGGGTGTTTCAGTAGATCTGCCTGTTCTGCTCCCCATTTTGTCTCTGGTGAATCCTCTCACCCCCACACCTCTGGCCTGTACCCCATTCTTGTATGCATAAATCTTTAAAAAAAAAACTTTAAAAAATTAAAAAAAAACTCTAGCATTCTGTAGTCAAGTTAAGAAATACCAACTCCCGGCCCTCCCTGGTGGTGCAGTGGATTAAAGCACAGCACTATGAGCTCTCCACAGCCACTGCAGCACGAGTCCGATCCCCAGCCAAGGAGCTGACCCACACAGCCCAGCAGACCTCTCCTGACTCGTCCGCTGCTCCCCTCAGCAGTGTATTAGTACATCTGCCTGTTCTGCTAGTGCCTCAGTGCCTGGCTCTGGTGAAAACCCTCACCCCCCTCACCTCTGGCCTGTACCCCACTTCTATATGCATAAAAATAAATCTTTAAAGGCCCTCCCTAATGGCGCAGCGGGTTAAAGCACAGCACTAAGAAGCTTAAGCCACTTCCGCATGCATGAGTGCATGAGATCGATGCATGAGTGCATGAGATCGATGCATGAGTTCGAGTTCAATCCCCACCTGCCCTGGAGGTGACCCCATGGCGCAGCAGGCCTCTCCTGGGCCGCTGCTCCCCTCAGCAGTATACTTCCTCGATCTGCCTGTTCTGCTCCCCGCTCTGTGCCTGGTGAATCCTCTCACCCTCCACATCTCTGGCCTGTACCCCAGTTCTATATGAATAAATAAATCTTAAAATAAATAAATCTTTAAAAGAAAGAAAGAAAGAAAGAAAGGTCAACTCCCAGGACCTAGCTGTCCTACACTGTCGCTGTAGCCCAGTGTTGGGAGTGTGTGTGTCCCCTGTTCTCTCCCCGTGGTGCATCCTGAGCTTGGGTCCACTGAGCCGCCACATCCTCAACCATCACAGCGTCTGCTTGGGTGGCTGAGGAGAGAGTAGGCGAGGCCCTAGTGTTGCATTGGAGCACAGGTCTGTCTAGGGACTGGCTGGCTTGGATTTAGCCTTCAGGCCTGTGCTTTCTGCGTGCTGTTTCCTTTCTGCTTCCTTAATCTGAAATGGCATGTGGACGCCCCACTTCCTCATTTCTTTAACTGGTGTGATCATTGACTGTCCCACTTCCTCCTCTTCTGCTTTTAATCCTGTCCACTCGGCATGGTGATGGGGTGGCAAGTCTGTGGGTATGTTGTGGGGGAGGGGGTCCTAGTGAGGTGACCATTCCTTGGCAGCTAGTGTAGGCAGAATCATCCAAGTTGGGGTGCCATTGAACAGTCCCCTATGAGAGAAGCTGTGGCAAGTGGGGATTAAAACCTTCAGTTCCCAGCAGAAAGGGGACAGTATCTGTTGGGTTGGGAGAAGCAGGTGTCTCTCTTTCATTCCTGACTTCAGAACCATTTGTGAAATAGTTTCAGGAGTCAGATAAGTGGGTGTAAAGAGGATTACACCCACTTATTAAGGGTGAGGATTATTATATTAAGGGCTGGCCTGGCAGGTACCCTGAATTAAACTTGCCTACTTGTTTTTTGGAGGAAGGGGAGCCCTGAGGGTTGGTGAACCCAGCTGTGACCCCTCACCAGGACGTGCAGAGGGCTTTTTGGCTCCTTGGATTCACCTAGCACCCATCACCCCAGGCTTTATGTGTTTCTCTGGCTCCTCAGGGATGTCTTTGGCATGTCATTCACCCCCTGTGACTCAGTTTCTCTTTTTAGTGCACAGTCTTATTTAATCTATTTAGTGACACTAAAAGCAATATTATTCCCATTTGTGACTCAGTTTTCACATTTGTTATCAGACACAATTACCCTTCTGCTGGGCTTCCCCACTCAGTCCCTTTCGCTCTGAGTCAGATGGTTATTTCGCATGGCTGCACTGTGGCTGTAAACCTATTAGACAGACATTCGTACTTTCAGTTAATATTCGTTGGGAGCCTTGGGATGCTAGGCCCTGTGCTGGGTGTTTTGGGGGATATAGCAAAGTAGATATATGGGTAACTCTGCAGGCACTCACGGTCTCTCTGGGAGACAAACTTAAATAAAGAATTGCAGATGTGCTGCAAAGGGGAAGTGAGGGATATTTGGAGCTAGTCACTGAGCTGGCAGGAGCTATTCTGAGGAAGTGAGGTCATGCTTGAACCCCATCTCAAACCCAGACTCTACTCAGTTCACCACACCCTGGGTGCCAGCTCCTATTTGTTTCAACTACCCCACAGCTGCCCTGGCAGTCTGCTGTGACTTAACTTGCCAAGCTCTTTCTTGCCTCTGTGCCTTTGCACACTCTGTTCCCTCTGCCTGGAATCCTCTCCGTGGCTCGCTCTCTGCATGGCTGTAACTTTTTGCCTCCGCTCAAATGTCCCTTCTTTAGAGATGGACTCCTTGATCGTGTCCTCTAACGTCTTCTTCCTCCATCTCTCTATCGTATGGCCAGGGTTTTTGTTGTTTGTCATCACAGCTCTTAATAGTAATGAAGCTGAAAAATGTGTGGGCTTGCTGCCTGTCTCCCCCCTGAGACGCGGGCTCCGTGCAGAAGCTACAGAAGGTGTCGCCAACACAAGCTCATCAATGCTTGTGGAAGCAGCCGCTCTTGCTTTCCCGGTGCATTAGCCTCCTGTTGCTGCAGTTACAAATGACCACAAGTTGAGTGATTTAAAAGAACTCCCAGATCACAGTCTAAAAGCTCCAGAGGTCAGAAATCTGAGAATGGGGTCCTCCCCAGTGGTGCATAGGGCTAAAGCACAGCTTTACCAAGGTAGCCGCAGCTGCTGCAGCTGGAGCTCGTTACCCAGCAAAGTGGGGGGCGTGGGGGGTGGTGACACATGGTGCAGCAGACCTCTCCTGACCGGCCTGCTGCTCCCCTCAGCAGGGCACTTTGTCAGTCTGCTTCCTGTCCTGCTCCCCACTCTGTCTCTGGTGAATCTTCTCACCGAGCCTGCACCTCTGGCCTGTATCTCAGTTCTATATGTATAAATAAATAATTTTTTTCCTTAAAGATTTATTTATTTATTATTTTTTAATTTTATAGTAGTTTATTTTTACATATTTCTGTGCATTTTTCCATCTTAGTTGCAATCCCCTTGGGCTTCCCACAACCAAATCACCCATGTGCCATCACCATAGTCCAGTGCGTCTCCCTCCCCTCCACTGTTTTTGATCCCATTCCCCACTCCACCCCCACAAAATGTCTCTGGTATATAGCTGTTCATCATTATCATTATTTTCTCGCCTGTTCCGTTATATTCCTGCTATGAGAGAAACCATCCGGTTAAATAAATAAATCTTAAAAAAAAAAAAAAGAAATCTGAAAATGAAATGTTGTCAGGCCTACATTCCTTGTGAAGGCTCTGGGGAGAATCCATTCACTTTTCCAGCTTCTAGAGGCCTCCTACGTTCCTCCGTGCTTGGCCCCTGCTTATCACTTCACTGTCTGCTTGGACCCGTTTTTCTTCCTCTTCTCAGCACCCTGGTGATGGCATCGGGCTCACCCAGCTAGTGCAAAATAATCTCCCATCCTCTACATCTTAAACTTAACCATATTTACAAAGTCCCTTTGCACCATAAGAAACTTACACGTTTAAAATTAGGATGGGTCATCCTTGGAGGGTCCATTATCCAGCCTCACCCAAGCCCCTGGGGTGCCTCAGACACTGTTGGGTGTGGCCTGCACTCGGGGACCCTGACCACCATCCAGAGCCCGATGACCTGACTGCCCCTTCCCTCTGCAGGATGAGATCGAGGAGCTGCGGGCAGAGATGCTGGAGATGCGGGACGTCTACATGGAGGAGGACGTGTATCAGCTGCAGGAGCTGCGGCAGCAGCTGGACCAGGCCAGCAAGACCTGTCGCATCCTGCAGTACCGGCTACGCAAGGCCGAGCGCCGCAGCCTCCGTGCCGCCCAGACCGGCCAGGTGGACGGCGAGCTGATCCGGGGCCTGGAGCAGGATGTCAAGGTGAGCCAGAGGTGTCCCTGTTGGGAGGTGCGGCCAGGCCAGCCCAGGGCCTCCTTTGTGTCCTGGGAGAAATGATGTCATTTTGTGCCACTCCGTCCTCATCTGTAAAGTGGGGGATCTCTGGTGAAGGGACAAGCCTGTACCAGGGGTGCCTTAAAGTGACAGCATACATGAATATTACTGATAGCAGCTACTGTTTGATATCAGTCACACACCTGGTGCTGGGTCCTGAGCTGCCCCTGTACAGTTCCATGGAGGTTTCTTTATTGTTAGAGAATAGGGGGAGCTAAGGCCTGGAGTTAGATCCTGGGCTCCAGGATGGCTGAATTTTATGATTTTGATCAAGTCACCTAAATTTCAGTTTCCTCGTCAGTAAAATGGTGTAACAGCAGCCAACCGCTGCTTCCCAGGGCTCTCTGAGGATAGAGGAAATGAAATCACATAGTAAAATGTCACGGTAAGCACTCAGCAGTGTTAGTTATTATTATCCCCTTTTTCCAGATGAGAAAAGTGAGGCTCAGAGAAAGGAAGTGCCCGCCAGAGTCGCGTGGCACTCAGCACACGGCTGGCAGAGCTCAGACTCATTAGCCCTCCTGTCTCACTGCCTGTCTCACTGCCCATCTCACTGCCTGCCTCCCGAGAGGGGTGGCTGGAGGCTGCAGGAGAGTGCCCCAATCTGTCTGTGTGAGCCCTGGTTGGGATCTGGTTGGGGGGTGGGTGTAGGAACTGGGGGTGGGGGCACAGGGCAGCCCTTTGGAGTCTTCCTTCTGGGGAGTGGTGCCCCTGAGACAGGAAGGGAAGGAGGAATGTTGAGAAAGAGGCCTGAATGTGCCTGGGGAGAACAGTGGGCACGGCCCCCGCGCAGATCCTGCACGCCTGTTGTCTTGAATGTGCACAGAGGGGTGGTGCGTCTGTGGTGCAGATGGGGACACCGAGCTTAGAAAGGCTGTTTCCAAGTCCACAGTGCACCTCTGCCTAAGAGGGCAGCTCCTGGGAGAAATGGTTACACAACTATTCAAATTCTAATCATTAGATGGGGGCAGAGGTTGCCGGGAGGGAGGGTCCTGGGCGCGCAGACTAATTGAGTGTGGGCTCAGGTAACTGGAGACTTGGGGCTGGGACTCCAAAGCCAGCCTAGAGCAGCCTGGCGGGCTGGATTGCTTGGGCCTCTGTGGGAGGAGCAGAGAGCAGCTGGAGGGGGGTGTGTGTGTGTGTTGGGGGAGGGGGACTCTCCACAGTCTGGAAGGAGGGGAGCAGCCCCTTCTGTTGGGATTTGAACTAGCCAATCAGCATCAACCTTGCCTGTTCCTTTCTCCTCTCCCTGGGCCTGCAAGCTGGAGTGCTGATCTCATCCAGACATGCCTGGCCTGGCCACCACGCTCTGCACCTTGTGCTGGAGATGTTCTGGGCCGTTGTCTGAGGTCTTAGAATTCTGACCCAGTGGGGTGCTGCCTGGGAAGGTGGCCCTGAGAACCTTCACTTGCTCTGCCAGCTATCTCTTGGGACCTCAGTTTTGCCTTCTGTTAAAAGTGTGGCTTAGACCAGCCAAATAATCTTTAGGACTTTGTAGAACCAAGGGTTTTATCCAGCGGATAGGCTATTGGTCAGGGTACCATGAATGAAATCTAAGGTGTTGCCCTGTCCCCTCCCCTCCCCCCCTCCTCTCTCCCAGACCTTCAGCAGGAACCTTGTCCCCTGTAGCAAGAGCAGGAGCACAGGGGTCAGAGACCTGCTTTGCCACTGTGTGGCCTTGGGTAAGCACCTTCACAGCCTTTTGTGGAAAACAGAGGTGAAACTAGTCCCCACCTGCAGAGATTTTTGTGAGGATATAATGAGATAATTCAACTAAAGAGCACTGAGCACAAAGGCTGCCATGGGGAGCACCCAGCACACAAGATATTGGTCATGGTATTATTGTTGCTCAAGAGAACCCCCAGGTGGGTTAGGGAAGGCTGGAGCCTCAGCCTACTGTGTGTATAAGTCAGCTGGAGGGCTTGTTCACGATGCAAATTCCCAGTTTCACCATAGGGCCGCCTGTGGGTGCCAAAGCATGGACACACCAATAAAATATTTCTTTTTTTCCTATCTCCAATGTTGCTGAAGAAGAAGTTCTCACTTTGGGTTCAATTCCTGGGTGACCTGGGTGGGCAGCCCCCCATTTGTGACCCAATTGTGTTCTCTTTGAGCATCACTTTGCTCAAATGTAAAATGGTGATGACATTCTCAAAATGGTGATGACGTTCCCACCCTTGGAGGCTCCGAGGATCTGGACACAGAGCCCAGAGGCTGCCTTGGGAGGCTGCGCCTCAGTGAGAGCGCCCATCCCCCCCCTAAGGATTCAGAGTGACAGGGACACCCTGAGACCCACGACTGAGGGGCCCTTTGAGCAGAGTTGCTGAGGCCTGGAGGCTGCTCGTTGCATTTGGCAGAAGCCGTGCTCCAGCGCTGTAAACAGTGACCTCATGGCTGAGTACATTTGTTTGTGCTTTGGGGATTTGCCCTGGTTTCCGGAAGCTGCAGCTGCTTGACCATCTCTAGTATCTGGTTCCCCCTACCTTGGGGGCAGTAGGGAGGATTGCAAGAGGACCAGGCGAGGCAGGCAGGTGGAGCCCGATGCACCTACGACTACATCTCTAGATATTAATACAGTGTGTCTCCAAGCTTCAGGCCACAGCCGGTCAGGTTGACAGCAAGACTCTAGAGTTGACCCACCAGATTTTAAATCTTGCTCCTGTAGCTTCCTGGCTGTGTGACCTTGGACAAGTGACCTCGCTTTGTGAGCCTCAGAATGGGGATAAATAATCAAAGTGCTTCCTGGGGGGATGAAAGGCATGTAGTGAGTGCTGGGGATGTGACTGGGGTCTATAAATCAACTGTGATGGCCCAGGGGGCCCAGCAAAAGAGAAGGGACAGGCCCAAGTGCCAAGGCTTCTGCCCTGCAGGCCAGCATGCTCCTTGCTCCCCCCAGGCCTCCTCAGATGACAGAGGACCCTTGAGGATCTGAGATTAGGGTTTTCTTGTGCACACTGGAATTCTGTGAACTGCCTGAAGTTGGACTTTGTTTTCTGTAAGATTTATTTATGCATACAAGACTTGGGGTGTAGGGTAGAGGTACAGGGGGAAGAGAGGATTTGCCAGAGACAGAGTGGGGAGCACAACAAGCATCTGGACTGAAATATGCTGCTGAGGGGAGCAGTGGGCACGACAGGAGAGGTCTGCTGCACCGTGTGGGTCACCTCCCTAGCCAGGGATCCAAGTGATGCTGAAGGGGCAGTGGAGAGCTTCATAGTGCTGAGACTTAACCCTTTGCGCCGCCAGGGAGCCCTTGACTTCTGTGACCTGGGCAAGAAAGAAAGCCGGAGGCAGAAAGGCTGAGCAAGCAGAGTTTATTGCTCCGGGGCAGCAGCTGAGACAGAGCCCTTAGGGTGGGGTCCACAGCTACTGCCAGTGCTACAGGGGAAAAGGGTCTCTTATATAGATTCTAGGTTCAGATTCCAACGGGGTGACTCATCGCTGTGTCCCCTGATGTAAGGCCCAGTTCATTATCACCCTCATCTGGTCCCATCCCGGATGCAAGGCCCAGTTAATTTATCACCCTTGGATGGGAGGCTCAGTTTATTACCGCCCTTATCCAGTGCCCTTATCTAGTCCTGTGTCAGTAAATGTGTTATCTCCGCACTTGGTCACTCCCAATAGCCCTAAAGTTGGTCTTTCTTGACAAGGCAGCCCTCTGGGGTGGAGACTAATGGGGAAGGAGATCCCATGGAGAATGAGGCCGAAGGGGGTTGGGGGCTCATGAAAGGGATGGAACCCCAGGAGTCACTCATGAACCCAGGAAGATCCAGGAATCCACACGACTTCTTGGAGTGCATCACTTTCCCAGGTCGAGGCCATGGTGGAGAGGAGCTGACCCATGACAGTATAGTCAGGAGAGGTGTCCTGTGTCCCAGCAGTGACCTGTTCCCTCACCTAATCAGACACCCAGCACTGCCCGAACAGCCGTGTGGTGGGCGACGTGTGCCTAATCAAGTTAGAGCAGGTGCAGCTCCTCATGTTTTAGTCATTTCCTTCCCTTTTCACTTGTTGGAGTGTTTGTTCATGCATTTATTAGGCACTTAGTGTATGCTGGGCCCTACACTGCTCCTGTAATAGAGAGTTAGGGAGCCCAGGAGCGTAGCCTGAGTTCCGCTTGCTCTGCCCGAGTCCTACCCACTGGGATGTGCACAGTCATTTATTCCTCCCATCAGCCCCGGGAGCTGCTCCATGAATTCCCTTTGCTGATGACCAAACCAAGATGTGGGGTGGTTAGATAACTTCATCCTGGGTCACCCAGCCAGTGAGTGTTGGATTCAGGCTCCCATCTCACGTTCCTCCTTGAATAGACCTTGTTCTGCTAAGGAGGGACTGTGCACTCCATTGTATGGGTGAGGAAGGTTTAGTGGCCCTGGGGCTGTGGAGGGGACCCTGGGCCCGCTCCTGGCTGTCCTTGGAGATCTTGGGGCAGAGAGACACAGTGGACAGCAGAGGCCGAGGGGCAGGGCTGAATTTCCTTTTGGTTGTTGTTTTTCCTGGCCTGCCTCACGATCTGCCAAGGGGTCTGTGCCGAGCTGGGCCCGGGCCCAGGCAGAGGGCAGAGCCAGGGAGGGCCCTCTTCCCTTCCGGCAGGGAGTGGGTACTGTGGCCATTTCCGAGACTGGCAGCCATGGGCTGCTGGGCTCTCTGCCCCACATACACTTCTTGCTGGTCAAGCCCTTGTGCCCCTATGGAGACTGGGTCAAGCTCAGCCCATCCCTGGGACTTCCCCCAACTTGGTCCTCACGTGCACTGTGCAACCCTAAGCAAGTCGCTTATGCTCTAAACCTCAGTTTCCTTGCCAGTAAAATGGGAGGCAGAATTGGGGTGAAGATGGATGAATCTGGTACATAGTAAGTATGCAAAAATGGTAGTGCCCAACTCACCTAGGGGCGGGGTCTCTGTGACTTACCAGCTTAGCTCTTTCCCCAAGGCCCCCTTTCCTAGCCTAGGAGACAGACCAGGTAGAGGGTTTCCTTGAGGAAGTGGGGTGTTGTTGGTGCAGTCTTGGAGCCAGGATTGCGTTCTCAGCTCTTCTGGCTTTCTTTCTGGCTTGGAGACCTGCCCAGTCTTTGTCATCGGGGGGCATGTTTTATATCCTTGATGATTAGAAACAGGCCTTGGGGTCACACTATACCCTCCAGCCAGTCATGCTCCTCTCTGGGTTGCAGTGCCTCGCAGCAGCAGCCACCACTCACCCACACTCACTGTGCAGGCCTCGGGCCAAGTCCCTCTTACAATAACCGATTCAGTTCTCCAGCTGGGGTGTAAGGTGGGTGGTATTGGGGGGGGCACGTGGGGGCACTGAAGCACAGTGGGGAAATGATTTACCCAGGATCATGCTGGTTACCAGCAAAGATGGGATTCATGTAGACCTGGGGCCACCCATTTCATTCTGGATTTGCACTGCAGTTCAAAGTAAAATGAGCCACTGTCCCTGCCACGGGACTGGACAAGAAAGTGGCTGGGAGAGACCATTAGAAGCATTAAAATCCCCAGGTAAGTAAAAAGAAGTATGGGGCTGCTTTGTGATGTTGACATTTGGAAGTGCTGATTTAGTTTGTTTCTATTACTTCCTGGCTGTGTGACTCTCGGTGAGTTACTTGAACTCTCCGTGTCTTGGGTTTCTCATCTGCTGAGCGGGAGTGATGAGAGCCCTGCTGGCTCTGGGGTTGTGTGGCAGGCCGTTCACCCCCAGCTCACCCCCTGCTTTTGCTCAGGTCTCTAAGGACATCTCTGTGCGGCTGCATAAGGAGCTTGAGGCGGTGGAGAAGAAGCGGGCACGGCTGGAAGAAGAGAACGAGGAACTTCGGCAGCGCCTCATTGAGACCGAGCTGGCCAAGCAGGTGCTGCAGACAGAGCTGGAGCGGCCAAGAGAGGTGAGAACTGCCCATACCGGGCGGGGTCACGTGCCAGCCCACGCAGCTGGTGTCTCTCAACCTCTGTCTCTGTGGCACGGTTTTGCTCCCTGGCAGAGCTCATGCCTCTGCTTCCTTTTTATTCTTGCTCAGCACACATTTCCCGAACACTTTCTGTATAGACTGTGTGCTGGACATGAAGGACGTGGTGGTGAATGGAAGACACCTGGTTCCTGTCCCCAAGGAGTCCAGGCCACGGACTGGTGAAGGAGACAGGCACCCATCAGAGAACCACAGCTGTGGGAGAACTAATTGAGAAAAATGCAGCAGTGCCTAGCCTGGCCCTCTGTGCCTCAGTTTCCTCATCTATACAATGGGACCATATGTCTTGAGTCACATGAGATTAGCTGGGATAATGTGTGGGCATGCTTTAGGGACTGCCAGACACTGCCCTTTTCTGTAGTCAGTGCTGGAGCTGGGCCTCTGGGCAGTGACTTGACACAGCTTTTGGGCCTCTATGCCCTCCCAAATGTGGCCTGAGCACCAGCTTAACTGTCCTTGCTCCTGCTATTCCTCCGCCTCTCATTCCCTCTCTTCCTTCTGCTGAGCAGGTTAGGCACTGTGCTCACCACTATCTCAAAACAGTTTTCATAAAGGCTTAAAGAAGTTGTGATCATAGCCATCCGTTTTATGGATGAGAAAACAGCCTTTGAGAGGGGGAGAAAAGTCTCAAGGTCATAGAGGGGCCAGTGGTTCTGTAGGCCAGTTGGAAACCATCAGCCCTCTGAGGGCTGGAATTCTCCAGACTCCAGCATTCTGTTTGCCAGACACATTGAGGTGGCTTCTGACCCAGAGGCCTCTCTGGGCATCTTAAGATCATACAGTCCTCACTTTCCCCAAGGTCAGGCACACCAGCCTCCAGGACTGAGACATCGCTGCCTTGAGGCCAGAACAGCCAGTCCTTCAGTTGCCCTTCCCACTGGCATGCTAGTGTGATGTGCCAGCAGCTTCTCAGTGTGGAGACAGCTGGCATTTGCTACTAAGGGCTGCTACGGTGCCCTGCTCTGCTCCAGGGTGAGAGGGCCTCCCTCCCTCACATAGCCTCCAGCTCCCCAGTGCCTGCCCATAACACAAACAGTATCTTCACATACCTCATTGCTGCTGCCTGTGCTAGTGTAAAGGGAAGACAATTTCAGAAAGTGCCTTGGAGAACAATCTTTTTTTTTTTTTTTTTAAGATTTGTTTATTTATGCATACAGAACCGGGGTATAGGCCAGAGGTTCAGGGGTGGTGAGAGGATTCACCAGAGACAGAGTGGGGAGCAGAATAGACATAGTGACGAAGTAGCAGCGGGAGGGTCAGGAGAAGTCTGCTGCGCCATGTGGGTCAGCTCCCTGGCAGGGGATCGAACTCGTGCTGCAGTGGCTGCAGATAGCTTCATAGTGCTGCGCTTTAATCCCTTGCGCCACCAGGGAGGCCCGTGGGTTTATTTTTTTTTTTTTAACAATAAGAACATAGTTGGGTATTATTTGTGGATTTCAAAAATGAAGTCAAGCATGTAAAGGGTCCTTTGTAGTACCTTGCACACAGCAGGTGCCCAAGGATCCCTGGTTCACTTGCCCCTGGAAGGCGCATCAGTGAGGCTGATCTCGATCTCCTTGACATGCCCTTGGTGTCTCAGGAACTGGGCAAGGAGACGTGGCCCTGTGTTTATGCTGATCCCCTGTTCCCCTTCCTCCGTCCCCCCCTCCATGGTTTCTATGGAGACGAGGGTCCCTTAGCAATTCTGCCAGAGCTGCTTCAGGCCCATCATCCAGATCTGCTTTGCCATCCTGACAGGTTGCTGTGGCGATGCTGTCACCCGACTGGGAACAGGAGCCCCTGGACTGAGCTGATGTGGTTGCTATGGCGATAGTTCTTCGCTAGAGAGAAGGGAGGGTGCGAGCCCAGCCCAGCTCTGTGGTCCCACTGTTGCCCAGCTGGAGCTCAAGAATCCTAACACCATCCTCCCCTTCATCCAGTATCTCCCTTCTTGTATATTAGGCAGAAAGCCAATGTCGGGGTTGACGTGATTTACTCAGCAGAGCGGCTGTGTCTGGGTGCTTGCTCTGTACCAGGCACCACGCCACACATCTCCCATGTGTCCTTGTGGGCCATGTGTCCTTGTGGGCCGTGTGACCCTCCCCACGCCTCTCAGCATGCACAGTGTCCCCATTTTATAGGTGGTACTCTTTTCTTGACCACTTTTAAGTTGTGATATAATCCACCATGTTAAAGTTTACAATTCAGTGTTTTGAGTGCAACCATTAGTGTAGCATTCAGTGATTGTTGTGCAGCCATCACCATGTTCTAATTCTAGAACATTTTCATTATCCCCAGAAGAAACCTGTTAGCAATCCCTTCCCAGTCTCCTTTCTCTCCAACCTCTGCAACCACTGATCTACTTTCTGTCTCTGCCTTTGTGGACATTCTGGACAAATGAAATTGTGCACCATGTGGTCTCTGATGAATTTTTTTTTAAAGATTTATTTACTTATTCATACAGAATTGGGCTACAGGCCAGAGATGCGGAGGGTGAGAGGATTCACCAGAGAGAGTGGGGAGCAGAACAGGCAGATGGACAAAGTACACTGCTGAGGGGAGCAGCGGGCGGGTGAGGAGAGGTCTGCCGCGCCATGTGGTCATCTCTGGGGCAGGCGGGGATCGAACTCATGCGGAAGCGACTTTAGATTCTCAGTGCAGTGCTTTAAACTGCTGCGCCGCCAGGGAGGACCCTCTGATGAATTTTTAATTTTTATGTCTTTTTTTCCCACACTGTCCCTTACATTCCTGGGACCCATTCTCCCACTTCCTTTCTCTTAACCTCAATAGCCTCACTTTGTTTATATCCACTGGATAAATACCCAATATTTGTATTCTGACTTGCTTTACTATATCTGGACTTCTTCCATTGTGCTATAAATAGTAATACTTTATCTCTCCTTATTTGCTGACTAGTATCCATGGTGTTGATAGATCTCATCTTTTTTTTTTTTTTTTTTACGCATACAGAACCGGGGTACAGGCCAGAGGTGTAGGGGCAGTGACAGGATTCACCAGAGACAAAGTGGGGAACAGAACAGCCAGATTGATGAAGTACACTGCTGAGGGGAGCAGCAGGTGAGACAGGAGAGGTCTGCTGCGCCATCTGGTTCACCCCCATGGGCCAGGGTTTGAACTTGTGCTGAAGTGACTGCGGCTCACTTCTAGTGCTGCATTTCAACCCCTTGCGCCAACAGGGAAGGCCCTCGATCTCCTCTTGAGCCGGTCCCATGCCCGAGCTATTGTCTTGTACAGAGTGTGCTTTATGCGAGCACATGTTTTCATTTTCTCCTAGACCTAGACTTAGAGGAGTGGAATTGCAGTGTACACATGGTGCTGGGGAAAAACAAAGATGGGGTTTTAACCCAGGACTATCTCCTGAAGCCACACTGACTCTTAGCCTGCTTTGCCCCATCCAGCCGCCTTCCTGGGACCTGGTGTGTTTTCAGAACTTCCAAAGGGGCCACTCATTTCAATGGGTACCTCATCCTGATCCCTCTGTGCTGAGAAAAGAAGGGCGTTGACCATGGTGTCAATCTTGCTTCTGCCATTGTGGTTCTCTGACAAAATCTAGCTGTGGCCTGTATGGGTCAGGAACTCAAACTTGGAGTCACGTGGGCCTGAGTTTGAATTTCTGGCTTTGCCATTCTTTTTGGCAAATAACTGTATCCTTGGGCAAACTGTGTGGCTGCTCCAGTGTTCAGTTTGTTCATTTACAAAATGGGAAGATTAAGCCCTGATTCTCAGAGGTGTTTGTGAGAGTTATTTGAGACAAGCAGCTAAAGTGCTTGGCATGGAATCAAGGGGTGGTAGGTAAATACTGATTGTCATGGTCTTAACCATTCACAACCATGGCTATAGCTGTGGCTCTACAGAAACAAGTACTGGAGCCTAATAACTGCCCTTTTGCATACAGCAGGGAGAGCTGCCAGTTGCCCATGGAAGGAGCAAATCGGCACTTGTAGCAGGCAGCATCTGTTCCAGTAACTTGATTTGGGGTGCATGGTTAAACCACCCTTTGTTCCCTCCCTCCACCACACGGCCTTCTGTCAGGCTGTTTCAGCTGCTCCAGAGGAAGAAAGTCTCAGTCTCTAAATGCTTCCCCAGCCCAGATTTTGCACACACACAGCGCTGTCTGTGTTTTCAGTGAGATCTTTCCAAAACATCCCCTCCAAATTTGGTGAAATCTGTGCAGCTGTTTTGACAGAAGGTTCATTTTATTCCTTGAAGGTTCATTTATTTCCTGGCAGCATGGACGCATAGAAGGTGCTGGAGGGCAGGGAGGTCTGCAGAGGTGTGCACAGGCAGTCCCTGTCTGGGCTGGCAGGGCCTGGAAAAGGACAGGAAAGCAACTTCCCCAGGTGCTCAGAGGCAGACTCAGGAATTGCTGGTGGGTAGGGAAGCCCCCATTGTGTACCTGGTCCTGAGGGCCTTCTTGTTGGTGCGCTGGTGCTGTGCTGCCCTCCAAAGGTCCAGGACTGGAATGTCTGCCCTGGGGCCTCCACAAAAAGGCTCTGACAAGCCTTGGCTCCCATGAGGGGTGCTGCACATCCCTAAGTTTCCTTAATTTCCCTCCCAGAGCCAAAGAACCATTAGATGGCTTAGAAGGGATCAAGGAGGGACCCCTTCTGATCCTGAAAATATTTAGTTTTGCCCCTTTTTTCTACCCACTGATGATGGTCATTCCACTCCAAGTTCACTTTCTGCCTGTTGGAAAGGTGTTCCATCACTTTTCCTGCAGAAAGCATTTTCTTAAAACACACTTTGACTTCCCCCTTGACTCAACAGGTACTATATGCTTCACAGAGACTGCAAAATATAAGTAAGACATAAGGAGAAAACATTCATCTGTAATCCAGGATGCAGAGTTACTACTTGTGGGATGTACAAACACTTCACTGTTTTCCTATTTATATGCACATATATATGTATGTGTATATACATACATCTATATATACATATACATCTATCTATCTCTATATATATATAAATGTACAAGTTTGTATACATTTTGGTTATTACTGAAAAGGTGATAGAAGCTCAGTGAATCACCAGCATTCTGAAGCTGCATAGATGCATGCCAGGCATACCTCTAAGGACGTGACACCAGACTCTGGTACACTGGTTGCTGGGGCAGGAGAACCACACAGGAAAGAACACTTCCCTAACTGCCTCCTTCAGTTCTACTCCCGACCAGCCAACCCTTAACAGTTGGCACAACAGTTGGGCTGTGTTTCCAGGCCTTCTGGATGCTCGTACAAGGTATATTTCTCTCTATGTGATATTTAAATGACTATATTGTATAAACTGTTTCAGTAACACAGAATGATATAGCATGAACATAGTGTTTTTTTGTTTTTTTAAGATTTATTTATGTATACATACAGAACTGGGGTATAGGCCAGAGAGGTGCACGGGTGGTGAGAGGCTTCACCAGAGACAGAGTGGGGAGCAGATCAGGTAGATTGACAAAGTACCCGACTGAGGGGAGCAGTGGGCCAGTGAGGAGAGGTCTGCCGCACCATGTGGGTCACCTCCGGGGCTGGGAATCGAACTAGCACCTAGGTGGCTGTGGCTCACTTGCAATGCTGCGTCCTAACCCACTGCGCCACCAGGGAGGGCCCCTATTTTTTATATTTTAAAGAAAATAATCTGGACGGCTGTGCCTGCCTGCCCTTCAAAAAAAAAAAAAATGGGGGGACAAAAGTGAGAGGCTAAGCATTCTGAATTTTCATTCTTAACAGCCTGGTGTATATTCTTCAGCTCTTCCCCTTCCCCGTTTCTGTGTTTTCTATTTATAGAAATGGTAATACGCTCCAAGTTTTCTTTAATAGGAAGTTTATTGAGCTGTAATCCACAAATCATAAAGTTTGCCTTTTTAAAGCATATAATTCCACTACTCTCTAATTCCAGAGCATTTTCACCCCGCCACTCTACCCCAAAGGAACCCGGAGCCCAAGATAGCCACACCCAGTGCCTCCTTTTCTCTGACAACCACTAATCTATTCTCTGTTTTTGTGTGTTTGCTTATATTGGGTATTTTATGTAAAAGGAATTATACACTAGGCGGCATTTTGTGACTGACTTTCACTTAGCAAAATCTTCACAGTGTTGTGGCTTATGTCAAACTTAGTTCCTTCCTAAGGCTAAATAAAACAAATTCCCTGGTGTGGATGTGTGGATATGCCACATTTTGGCTATCTGCTCATCAGCTGGCCACTTGGGTTTCAAGTATCCGCCCCCCACAACATCTACCAATCTCCGTGATTTTACCATGACAGCAAATTTCATGCTCCTCTTGGTCCTTTCTATTATCCCACTCCTTTATATGGGATCACAGTGGCTTCTCAGTGCCTTTGGAGACCCCGCCCCATCCTGTCATCCCATACTCTTTCTCCAGGGAGCCTGAGAGAGGCTCTGATCACCTTATCCAAGGCACCCTTTTATAGATGATAAAACAGAGTTTCAGGGAAAGGGAGGATTTTGCGGAGGATCATCAACTTGGTGTTGTAGGATTCACAGAGTTCAGCTCCTGGCTGGGGTCGCAGCCCCTCCCACCATGTGTGATAGGAAGTCCCAGAACTGCAAGCTTGACTATGTGACCCAGAACCTCTGGCTTACCATTCCGCTTGGGGTTTCTCTCTGAATACCCACTTCCTGTTACCTGTTTATGGGAGGGCTCTTTCTAGGAGGGTTTGTTTTGTAGCCCTCACCCCTATTCTCTGCTATTCTCACTTTTGAAAAATCCCAGGTCAGCCCTTCTCAAATACTTGGCTCCCTGCTCAAATACTGGCTTCCTGCTCAGAAGCACCCAGAGTCTGAAATATCAGCCTCTGCCTTCCTGTCTCATTTGCATTTCAACAGGTCCTTTAGGGTTTGATTGGCTTTAAGATATTCTTAAGAGCCCCTCTGGAGTTCTTTTGCAGATTCTGTGGCTCCAATCTGGGCTGTACAATAAGTCATCTGTATAAAAATAGTGATGGTTGGGATCTACCCTGGGCTGATTAACTGGGGTCAGAACCATCAAGTTTTTTGTTTTTTTTTTTCCTCTTAACGTTTCCCTAGATAATTCTGATGAGTACCCAGGTTGAGAACCACAATGCTAGGTCTACCCTGGCCCTCATCAAAGAAGGCACATTTCCTTTCATGTCTTTGGAACTAGGTTAAGAGTTTTGTCAAAACTGGTTTCAGGTCAACTGTAGGTTTGCTGTGGGGACCTCTCTTTCCCCTGCTGGATTGGATTAGGTCGGTGGTTCCTACTATCAGGGATGTGATGTTAAGTGAGAGGGGTGGTAGGAAAAGGCATGTGTTCAAAACACTAGAGAACATTCTTTAAAAGTACCTGCTCAGGGCCCTCCCTAGTGGCATAGCAGGTTAGGATGCTGCACTGCAAAGTTAGGCACAGCCGCTTCAGTGCAAGTTCAATCCCCAGCCCCAGAGGTGACCCACATGGCGTGGCAGACCTCTCCTGTCTTGCCTACTGCTACCTTCAGCAGTGTACTTCGTCAGTCTGCCTGTTCTGCTCCCTACTCTGTCTCTGGTGAAGCCTCTCACTGTCCCAGCGCCTCTGGCCTGTACCCCAGTTCTGTACACATGAATAAATAAATCTTGAGAAAAAAAAGAAAAACTTATTAAAAAGAAAATACCTGCTCAACTTGAAAAGTCAAAAGCAGCCTAAGTGTATACCATGAATATAAATGCCCCCTCTGGGGGAGGAAGTGTTGAATGGAATAATGCTGAGTTACATTTTAAAGCATCAGTAATAATTATGGTGTCATCTCCTTGGATTCCCATTCATACAGCTGTGCCTTTTTGTGTTCTTGCTCGTGATATATGACAGCCTATTTCTCCATGTTCTCATCAATAGAATATTTTGTCAGGTGTTTGGATTTTTGCCAACCTGATAGGTAAGAAATAGTATCTAGGTGTAGTTTTAGTTTGTATTTCTGTATCATATATTGGGTTGAGCATCTTCCTATGGTTAGGAGTCACTTTCCTATTAACTGTTTTTTTTTTTCTTATGTTTTGCCTATTTTTCTATAGGTTTTTGGTAAGACTCTTTATATACTTAGTGTATATTACTCTTTGTCAGTGTAACAAATAAATTGCAGGCTGTTTTCCCCCACCTAGCCATTTATATGTTTATTTTTCTTTAGATATTTTTGTTTCCATGATGAATTTGCTTATCTAACCAAATGTATTGGTTTCACCCCCATCATTTCTGAATTATGGAATCATGATTATTATTAATAGCTTTATTATGCTTAAACTTCATGAAAACTTAAACACTATAAACTGTAAAAATGATCATTTCTGCCATCACCCCCAAGCCTCCTGTGTAATTACGATGTGTTGCACCCTACCTGGATGTCAGTTCTCTGAGAACAGTGTCCCCAGGTGGACATTTGCATACACTTGTTGGGAAAGTCCCCTTGGGAATAAGCATCAGGGATGGAAGCATTAGCCCCAATGGCCTCAGCAGCTCTGATGGGGAGCTTGAGCTGGCATGATGGCATTGTTGTGTGTGGACGGGCTGGCCTGCCAGTGCCTAGTGTCCTGGACTCCCCCGGGAGAGGGCTTGACTGCCATTGCTAGGAGGAGGGACTCAGCTTCAAGGTCTTCGTTGGGGGAACAAAGACCCAGTCCTAAAGAGGGGGGCCTGGTTGGTGCATCATAGCATCCTTCCCAAGCTCCCTGTCTGTCTTGGTCACTGCTGTGTTTTCTATACCTCACTGTGCCTGTCACATAGCAGGTGCTCAGAGCATCTTTGGTGAATGAATGAAAGACACACAAAAATAGAAACACAGATTTCTGAGACTTGGTTCAGGCCACTAGATCTCAATGGGGGTGGGAGAGAAGAGAAGGAACTCAGACAAAATTATGTCCTCAAGTGCTTCTGGCCTGTCCCCCATTTTCAGTCCACTGGGTGGTACTGTGAGTCCCTTTGATTCTGTAGCTGGTGGTGGTCAAGGCTGGACACAGCTGGCTGGGCTAGGGAAGGTTGGGGGAGAGGGACCCTCAGTGGAACCCTATGTGAGATGACTGCTCTTTGTTTTTTAAATTTTTGTGAGAAAGAATGCTTTATGTATTTAAATCAGATTTTGTTTATTTACCATTTGTTTACAAAACTATCATTTCAGGAGTACAGCTTATATTTCAGTAAGTCCACGTGCTTCACCCCTCTCCCCCCAAAGCTCTGCTGCACTGCTTGAGTACATTAACCCCTTCTGTTCCCTTCTTTCCTCATCCCTTTCCCCTCTGGTGACTAACATACTTTTCACAGAGTCTGAGAAACTTGCAGTTCAGTTTTTGCTGTTGTTTTCTTTAGTTATTTACATTCCACAAGTGAGTGAAACCATCTAGTAATTGTCACTTTCTGATTTCTTTCACTTATCAATAGCATCAATAGTACTTCACTTATCAGTATCAAGTTCCATCCACATTGTCACAGGACAAATTTCATCTTTTTTCAACAGCTGAGTAGGACTGTATGGGTTATATGTACTACAGGATCTTTATGCAGCCATGATTTGCACTTTGGATGCACCTTATTCTTGTAAGTTTTCAGTTCAGTTTTTGTTTTCTTTTATCTTCCCTCCAGCATTCCTTGAAGAAAAGAGGAACCCGATCTCTGGGGAAGACAGACAAGAAGCCTTCCATGCAGGTAACGCCTGGCAGCACCCATAGCCCCCAGTGTGGTCCCCATAGTTAGGTTTTAATCCAGTAGCCTGAGACTTAATTCCAAGTGGCTCAGAGAATCCCCTGAGGTGTGCACCCCTCTCCAGCTTCTACCCCACATTTTCTTTTTGTTCATTTCCCTAACTTTACTGCTCATTTCACTTCCCAAACTGCAGGCCTGGAGCCCCTGGTTCTTACATGCTCAAATTAATAAAGTATAAATGTGGTACAGGGGGCCAGGCATAGACTATGTTAGTCTCCAGTGCTACTGGACTGTCAGGGCACCAGGAACTTTTCATGATTCTCTTAGTGAATTCCCTCCATGGCCTTGTGACAAAGAAAGAGCTTTTGTTCCCCCCTTTTTTAAAAAAAAAAGGTTTATTTATTTATGCATACAAGAGCTGGGATACAGGCCAGAGATGCAGGGGTTGAGAGGATTCACTAGAGACAGAGTGGGGAGCAGAACAAGCAAATCTACTGATTATATGGCTGAGGGGAGCAGCGGGTGGGTCAGGAGAGGTCTGCCACGCCATGTGAGTCACCTCCCTGGCGGGGGATCGAACTCATGCCACAGTGGCTGTGGAGAGCCTCATAGCGCTATGCTTTAACTCTTTCGGCTGCCAGGGAGGACCCTGTTGTCCCACTTTATACACAAGCAAAATGCAGTAGTAATGGTAGTTGTGGTAGCAGCAACAGTGCAACAGTTGCCCTAGCAGAATGTCTTCTACTCCAGGAAGCCCTCCTGGATTCCCTAAGCTATATACATGGTGTTATTTCTTTGCTGCAATATCAAATTTCCCTTCACCATCCCCAGCGTTTGAAGGACAGGGCTGCATCTGATTCGGTCCTGTCTCCCCAGGATGCAGTTACTGCCCCCTGAAATTCTGTAGCTGAGTTTCTCAGCAGTAACCTTTCTGGTCCTGTGTTCCTGTGCCCACTGCATCCCAGGAGGACAATGCAGACTTGAAGTGCCAGTTGCACTTTGCAAAGGAGGAATCAGCCCTTATGTGCAAGAAGCTCACCAAGCTGGCCAAGGAGAACGACAGCATGAAGGAAGAGCTGATCAAGTACCGCTCGCTCTATGGCGATCTGGACAGCGCCCTGTCCGCTGAGGAGTTGGCGGACGCACCCCACTCGCGTGAGACAGAACTGAAGGTGCATCTGAAGCTGGTGGAGGAGGAAGCCAACCTGCTGAGCCGCCGCATCGTGGAGATGGAGGTGGAGAACCGAGGCCTGAGGGCCGAGATGGACGACATGAAAGATCACGGCGGGGGCTGTGGGGGCCCAGAGGCGCGACTGGCCTTCTCTGCGCTGGGTGGCAGCGAGTGCGGGGAGAGCCTGGCAGAGCTGAGGCGACACCTGCAGTTCGTGGAGGAAGAGGCGGAGCTACTCCGACGCTCCTCCGCGGAACTCGAGGATCAGAACAAGCTGCTGCTGACCGAGCTGGCCAAATACCGCTCGGAGCACGAACTGGACGTGACACTGTCAGAGGACAGCTGCTCGGTGCTCAGCGAGCCCTCGCAGGAGGAGCTGGCCGCTGCCAAACTGCAGATCGGTGAGCTCAGCGGCAAGGTCAAGAAGCTGCAGTATGAGAACCGCGTGCTCCTGTCCAACCTCCAGCGCTGTGATCTCGCCTCCTGCCAGAGCACCCGACCGATGCTGGAGACCGACGCCGAGGCGGGAGACTCTGCCCAGTGTGTACCCGCTGCGCTGGGTGAGGCCCATGGACCGCATGCTGCTCGGCTGTGCAGAGCCAGGGAGGCCGAGGTCCTCCCTGGGCTGAGGGAGCAGGCGGTTCTGGTCAGCAAGGCCATTGACCTCCTGGTGGCTGATGCTAACGGTTTCTCTGCTGGCCTCCGTCTGTATCTGGACAATGAGTGTGCTGACTTTCGGCTGCGTGAGGCCCCTGACAACAGTGAGGGCCCCAGGGACACCAAGCTCATCCATGCCATCTTGGTGCGACTGAGCATGCTCCAGCAGGAGCTCAACGTCTTCACGCGGAAGGCAGACAGCGTCCTGGGGAGCGCTGCCAAGGAGCAGCCAGAACCCTTCTCCTCACTGCCCCCCTTGGGCTCCCAGGGGCCCTCCAAGGAGCTTCTTCTAGCCAAAGACCTTGGCTCAGACTTCCAGGTAACAGTCAGGGCCTATTGCTTTTTCCTTTTTTTTTTTTAAAGATTTATTTATTTGCATACAGAGCTGGGGTACAAGCCAGAGGTGCAGGGGCGGCGAGAGGATTCACCAGAGACAGAGTGGGAAGCAGAAAAGGCTGACTGACAGAGTACATTGCTGAGGGGAGCAGTGGGCGGGTCAGGAGAGGTCTGCTGTGTCATGTGGGTCACCTCAGGGGTGGGGATCGAACTTCATGCAGAAGTGGCTTTAGCTTCTCAGTGCTGTGCTTTAATCCACTGCGCCACCAGGGAGGGCCGCTTTTTCCTTTTTTTTTAACCAGATACGTGTTACAGAGCTAGCACATAGGGACACAGCTTAATGCATTTTCCCAAGGGAAAACACTCCTGTAATCACCACCCAGGGTGAGAACTAGAACTTGACCAGCACCCCAGAAATCGCTCCTCTTACTCCATTTAAGCCACTATCACCGCTCCCAAGGGGGAACCCTGCCCCCATTGATTCGATTTTGTCTGTCTTTGATTTTTATGTAAATTGTCGGATACAAATAAGTACACACCCATTTGCCTGACTTCTTCCACTCAGAGGCTATGTGTGTGGTTGTTCATCCGGTCACGACTGGGTACAGTCTCCCTGGGTGACTACACCATGATTCATGACCCAGACATATAGGAATTTGTTCCCAGGCCCTGTCTTTATGTCAGATTCCCCTTTCTTCTTTTTAATCTTGTAGTTTTAAATTTTACAACAGGAATTATTAAAAAAATTAAGAGCTTTTCAGGTTCTATATAAAGGCAAGAAACTGGACTTTCTAAAGGTAATGAACTTCCAGCTTGATGTTTAGAAAATACTACTGAGAAAAGTTAAAATAGCAAATGAACTCAGCCAGCCCCCGACCCCGCTGCCCCGCCACCACCAAAAGAAAACAATTATTGCCAAAGTGATCTGTGGACATTCTGAGTTTCAGATGCACCTGAAATAAAAGGGTGAAAGCCTCGCTCCCCTCACTGCTTCTCACCCCGATGGGTACAGCTGGTGGCAGTCTGAAGCAGCACTGTCCAGTATGGCAGCCATGAGCTGCTACTGAAATATAAATGAAAAAAATAACATACAATTGAAAATTCTGTCCCTCAGTGCAGTCGTCCCCTTTCAAAGGTCCAGGGGCTGCTGTGTCCAATGGTACCGATCTAGAATATTTCATCACCATTGTATGCCCTTGTAAATCTTTCTCTACGTGTGCTCTCATCTGTTTTTTACCCAAAGTGCTTTATATTACACCTCCTGTCCCCATCCAACTTACTTTCTCATGTACTATGATCTGTTTGTTCATTTACTTAAGATGCTGTATTTATAGTTCATGTACTTTGTGTGCTTAGTGCTGGAGGTGCTGTGGTAAGCTAAACAGATAGGATTCTTGCCCCCCCCCAACCCGGGCCTGTGATCATCTAGGGGGGAAGAGAGGTGTTAATCAAAATAGCATGCCAATGAATGTGAAAATATAAACTGAGATGAGGGTTCTCCAGGAAAATACTTGATTCTGTGAACAAAGAACTTGACTTAGAGCCTGGATTGGGGAAGGTCTCTGACCTCAGCTGAGTTCAGGAGGAAGGATGACTAGAGGAAGAGTATTAGAAGGAGCAGGGGCAGCCTGTCCCAAGGCAGGCAGTGTGGCTGGGAGCAGTGAGGTGTGTCCCAGAACTGCGAGAACACAGGAGGTTTCATCCTCTTCCTGAGAGCATCGTGAGGGGTCCCCTGTCTGTACCGGGAGACATAGCTCTTTCACAACTACAGTGTAATTGCACTGTAATTTCTTGATTCATGTCCTGCTGTTCTGGCTTGGTCTTGCTGTTTTTAAGTGAGCCTATGACCCTTGTGAGGTGTCCTTGGCTCTTGGGGCAGACATGAACAGAGGCCACACGTGTGATAAGCAGCTGAGGCTGGCTCAGGTTTGTGCATAAGACAGACAGTGACAGACCCTGGTTACTACGCACCTAACCTAGTCACCCATCCCTTCAGTAAGATTCATGGGGTTGCAGTGCCTCAACCAGGGGTGGGCCTGTGCTACAGAGCTGAATCCCCCTAGGTTCCAGCCCTTGGTGGGTGGTCAGAGTCCACAGGCCTGGGGTGGAGGCTGTTTTTGGCATAACTCGGGCCCCTCCTCATGGTTACCTTTGGTTTCTTCCTGTGCCTCTGGGGGGCAGCCGCCTGACTTCAGAGATCTGCCGGACTGGGAGCCCAGGATCCGAGAGGCCTTCCGTGCTGGTGACTTGGACTCCAAGCCCGATCCCAGCCGGAGCTTCAGACCCTACCGAGCTGAAGACAACGATTCCTCCTACGCCTCTGAGGTGGGCCTCGGCCTGCAGTGGGGTGGGTAGAGGAGATTGTCTGGGGCCTCCCTAACTCAGAGTATCCATGGAGGCTCTTGTTAATTCTATGAATTTTGAGTATTGGTTTCTAAGCTTTCCGGAGCCAGGGTAGCCAGGGTGAAAAGAAAACCAGGGAGCTTTGGTTCATTTGCATGGTCTGAACGAAGGAAGCTTATAAATTCATCTGAATGAATCAATGCTTTTTTTCTATGTTGAATTCCACTGTGATAAATAATTGATGTCATTTAACAGAACCACAAATTTCTGTAGCAAGACAGCAGCTGTGTCTACAGTGACACAGACTAAATTCCAGTTGAGTCCAGCTAGATCTGGTAGTGAGATCTGAGATAAGTCATGTTCTCTCTGATCCTCAGTTTTTTAACCTTTAAAATAAAGGTGAGCCCTCATAAGGTTGTGGAAGGAATTAAACACATGGAAAGCCTTAGCTTAAATCTGGTCCTTGTTGAGTGAGTGCAAAGATGATATTGATGAGACCTCTCTGGCCCTCTGGCCCACACCTATGTGTGGCTGTCTGGATCTGTGTTCCCACTTTCTGGCTGCAGCTTCCCTCTCTGTAACATGGAAGGATTAGAGTGGTTTGTGGCTAAGAATTACGTCGTGAAGAACCCTGGAAAGTAACGTAGCAAACTCTTTAAGTGGTCTGAGTTTACTAGCTGCCATGGCAAAAGGTGAGAAATCATGAATACCTAGTTTTTACTCTGTGAGAAAAGGAAAAAGGCCAGCTTACGTGCAGAGAGACTACTTTCCTGTATGAATTCAATCATTACTTAATTCAACCACTCTTTATTGAGCAGTTATAATTTGTCAGACACTGTTGGGCCTCAAGTTCAAGAACACCAGAGCTCACAGTTATTATCCAGCCTCACAAGAATTTTAAATACAAAGCAGGTACATAAGATACACTTCAAATCAGAGTGCCTTCCATAGCCAAACTTCCACGTTATTGGCCAGGTGATAAAAGTTTAGGTTTTTTCACGGAGGGACATTTTGCCATACCTGGAAAGGTTTTGTGTAATGAATTGGGACTGACCTTTCTCCCCCCAGCCTCCCCTGTTTAACATGACAGCATAAACATTCCCTGTGCTATTAGAAATCCTGCCTTAAAATTTGACATTGAATTGTAATATACAGAAAAGTGCTTAAATTGTCAGGGGACACCTCAGCTGAACAAACGGAACATTCCTACGTAGTCAGCAGTCGGTCGGTAAACGGAGCATGAAGTGTCCCCCAGAACCTCCCTGTATGCCCGCTAGTCACCATCCTGACTTGTAACCAGATAGGTTACTTGTGCCAGATAGGTTGTTTAGCTGTACACTTAAGGTTGTCATTTCCCCTGAAAAGATAGTTTTATTTTCTTTTTCTTAAGATTTTAGTACATATTCATTTTAAATAATAATTAACTATAACAAAATCCCTAAACAACATTGTATAAAAATATGAAGAGAAAGTTAAGATCACCAGGTCACCTAGTTAGCTTCTGTTAATATCTAGTGTCTGTGTCCATGTCCTTCCTGTTTTTCTGTTGAGGCATACTGTGTGTATCCTTTTAAAAAGACCAAACTTTTAATTCTAGTGTCACAAAATAATGCACATACCATGAAGGACACTATCCTTAAGTGCAGTTAAGTCTGCACTTAAGTGGGTTTTTACAGATAAGTGGGTTTTTACGGATGTATAGGTCCGTTAAACATAGATATGAATCCCTTCGTTTATTTATCTATGTTGTTTCTAAAATTTTACAGTTACCAGCAATGAACTATGAACATCTTTGTGAACCAAACTTAGTTTTCATGGCAGCTTGTTTTCTTCAAATAAACTTCAAAGAGAGAATTTGTCAAGTTAAAATTATAACCCGAGCTAGGCTTGATATACACGGTTTCACTTAATTGTCATGACAACCCACGAGGAAGGAATAGCGGGTCCTGCTTGATTTGTGCTGAAAGACAGCTCAGGCCCAACTTGCCTCTGTGGCTTCCTGTCATGCTTCTCCTTTGATCACAGCTGATCTGTCGCTGTTGCTTGATCTCCCTCCTGTCTGTGTCCTTCGTCCCTACCCAGATCAAGGAGCTGCAGCTGGTGCTAGCCGAAGCCCATGACAGCCTCCGGGGCCTGCAAGAACAGCTGTCTCAGGAGCGGCAGCTTCGGAAGGAAGAGGCAGACAACTTCAACCAGAAAATGGTCCAGGTTAGTGATGTGAAGGGCCTTCCCTGCCCCTATTCCAGACTGTCTTCCCCGAACTGAAGACTCGTAGAGTCCCCGGACTTAGCTGTGCTGGGAGTCTGGGTTTGTCATCTACTACCTGTTGACCTTGAGTCAAGTCTCTCTCCTCTCTGACCTTCAGTTCTCATCTATGATATTCTTCCCCTGTCAGCTGAAAACTGGCAAAATGACCAGGGGCCTGGCTGGTAATCACGGTGATAGTCCTGATAATATTAAACCCTTACTGCTTGTCAGGCCTGTGCTGTGCACTTTCCACATATTATGTCCTTCAGTCTTCCCTATAAGGTGTCACTGTTTTAAGGATGGGGAAGCTGATGCTCAGGGATCTGAAGAGCTTTGCTTAGGGTTGCACATCCAGGGCAAGTGGGACCTGGATTCTAATGCAGGTCTCTGTCTCTCAGCCATGACATCCAATAGCTTCCTGGATATTGCTTATGCTCAGCCTCCCCTGATCCCAGCATGCCCTCTGTTTCCACCACAGTCACCCCTCCCTGCAGTCGTTGCTCTCTCGCCTATGTGCTCATGAGATGCATTGGTGCCCAGATTTTGCTGATTTTATTATGTCATGGTTTTTATACTCAGCTGGGTTCCATTCCCAGCTTTCACTGATTTGTTACGTTGATTGACACTTTTATGAGTTTCTCTTCCCTGGGGTAGCAGAGGGCAGTGTTTATCTCAACAGAATGAGGTGTTTCTGTTGGAATTCTGGGTCAGGATCACCAGAAGGCACCACCCAAATTGTCCTCTGTTCTGGTCTGACACATAAAATGGGTGGGGTTGCTCATGCTTGTTCCCCTGCTAGCTGAAGGAGGACCAACAGAGGGCGCTCCTGAGGCGGGAGTTTGAACTGCAGAGTCTGAGTCTCCAGCGGAGGCTGGAGCAGAAATTCTGGAGCCAGGAGAAGAACATGCTGGTGCAGGAATCCCAACAGTTCAAGCACAACTTCCTGCTGCTCTTCATGAAGCTCAGATGGTTCCTCAAGCGCTGGAGGCAGGGCAAGATTTTGCCCAGCGAGAGGGATGACTTCCTAGAGGTAGGGTTCCCCAGCCACTGGAGCGAGGGTGGGTGCAGTGGGGGAGATAGAATGAGAGGGAGATCCAGCTGGGGTGACACATTCCTAAGGTTCATTTCCGAGCCAGAGCTTACAGGCTTCTGTCCCTGCGTTCACTCACGCATTCAGCTTCTGTGACAATCAGTTGTTGACAAGTCCTGGTGGCCGCTGCTGGGGCAAGACAGACTTTGTGGGCCTCACCAAGAGAAAGTCTCCTTGGGGGCTGCTAGGTCTTTCATACCCTCCAATACTTTCTCTTTTGAACAAACTCCAGAGTTTGTTCTCTCTAGGTGAATTTAATAATCTACTTTTGTTCTTATTAATATTTTTACCGTATGTGTAACATGCGGTCAAAGACACACATCTTCAGCATATATAGTTCATGAAGTTTATAGTGTACTCACACATAGCTGTGCAAGGATCACAAGGATCACATTTGTGGTGCCCCCAGAAGTCTCTCTGTGCCCCAGTTGATAAAGCCCACCAGCAGTCAGCACTGACTACTTACATCCTGGACTAATTGCATTTACTCTAGGTCTTCATATAAGTACATGTCATCTTTTCTGTTTGACTTCATTTGCTCAATAATTTTGTGAGATTCACCCATGTTTTTCTTGTGGAAGTAGTTCAATTTATTTTTTCAATGATTTATTTATATAAGAACTGGGGTACAGGCCAGAGGTATGGTGAGTGAGAGAATTCACCAGAACAAGGTGGGGAGCAGAACAAGCTGATGTGCTGAAATACACAGCGAAGGGAGCAGTGGGACCAGAGACTGTGCCACGCTGTGTGCGTCAGCTCCCCGGCGGGGGTTTGAGCTCGTGCTGCAGTGGCTGTGGACAGCTTCACAGTGCTGTGCTTTGACCTAACCTGTTGCACCACCAGGGAGGACCCTTTATATCTTATTTTTAATACTACCTTTGATGTGTGATCAAGGGTACTGGCTTTCCATCCTTAGTAGTAATATCAGTTTCCTTTCTACAGATGTACTTGTTTAACTAGATGGAGTAGACTGACTTAGAAGCATTAGTAATGGAACAGTTGATCTTTCTGTGTAGCAGGAAATGTGGGGGACCTTGTGAAGTTTGGGAAGGATTCACAAGGCCCATTTACCTTTCAGCCTGTTCAAGACCCTTTGCTCCCCCACATCCCAAGATACCAGCTTCCTGGTGTTGCTAGAAGGGACTGTTGTGGGGGAGAATCAGGTACAGGCTGGAGGCATGAGGGTGAAAGGATTCACCAGAGACTGAGTGGAGTGCAGAACAGGCAGACTGATTGAAATATACTATTAAGAGAAGCAGCAGGCGAGACAGGAAGGGTCTGCAGTACAGATTGAGGGCCCAGGCATTGTTGACTGGTTGGGGTGACTAGTCTTGGGTGTGTGCTGGCTCATGATCTGAATTAGCATAATGGGTAATCAGTTTAGTATCCAGGATCCCAGGGCAGCCTCCTCTACTCCTTGTATCCATTCAAGTCTTCCAAACTTGCCTACTGGGCAAGGAACGGGGGCTTGGTTTTTTAAATTTAGCGTGATACCATGATAGGGACCTCGCACCTCAAGCCATCCTTTTGTCACTGCTCAGCTTCCCCTTGGCATTGACCTTTTGTTTGCCCTCCTCTGGCTCCAGTTACTCTTTCCAGAGCCAGTGGGGACTAATGGCTCTTCCTGTTAGGGGTCCTCTTGAATAAACGGAATGTCCCAAGAATAGGGTAGACCTAAGTCTGTGGCAGGAGACCCCTCTGTACCCCATCTCTCTGGACTCATAGTTCTTTTTCCAGGCCTCCCAATTCCCCAGAGACCTCCAGGGATCACTGATTATCCTATCAAATGGTCACTTTCCCTGCTGCCCTCACCCTGGAGTCTAACACAATGGGAATCAGCTCACAGCTGGCCTCCGTTGAGCATCACCTTTTGTGACATGGGAAACAAAGCCTCCATCATCCCACTTCATGTGTTAATACTCATGTGTTTGTAGGGCCGATGCTAGTGTCTAGAGCACAGGACCTGTAAGCAGGTCCTGCCAGGGCTGTTACAGTGTACATCATAGGTTCCAGATTCTCTTTCTAAATCCTAAGAAATTCTCAATTCCAAGCACAACTGGCCCCAGGATTTCAGAGACAAAATCGTGCACCATGTTTATAGACTAAAAGCCCGTTTGTGTAGATACTGGGGAGCAGGGAGGGAACTGGGGTGTCCATGCAGGCTCTGCTGCCTATATACTTTCCAGCCTCAGCACCTGCCCTGACGCTAGAAACGCTTCTCCGTTTGGTTTCTAGAAAGGCCATCACACTCTTGATTTTCCTTACATCTCACCCTGCTCAAACTGCTTCTCAGTTTCCTGGCCAGACCTTCTCTCCTGACCTGACCTCCGAGCCTCAGAAACTCCAGGACTCAGCCCTCAGACTGTATATCACTCCCTTGGGTGACTCATTCCAGCTCACGTCTTAAATGGCCTTTCTTGTACACTATGAATCTGTCCTGAATCCTCGGCCACACTGCCCGGCCTCCATCGGAACCACCTTTACCCCTGACCTGGATAATCCACTGTAGCCTAACTGGTCTCCCTGCTTCTGCCTTCGCACCCTTCCACTGAGCGTCTGTGTTCAGAGGGTACCAGGCGGTGCCAGCAAACTACTGCACTCCGTGAGGATGGTGTCACTGGAGTTGGGATATGAGACTGAGAGACTACCTGATAATGTATCTCAGCACAGCAGCTTGAGTGACCTGGTGAAAGAAATCACCTGGTGCTGCTCCGTGGTTCGTAATTCTCCCCTGGCTCCCATTTCATCCAGAGTAGAAATCAAAGTCCCTGCACTGTCCTGGTCTGTCAGCTCTTCCTCACTTCCTCCCTGGCTTTTGGCTATTGCTCAAACACCTGTGCTCCCACCTCAAGGTCTTTGCATGTGCTGTGCCCTTTCCCTGGAATTTTTTTTTTAAATTTATTTATTTGTGCATACAGAACTGGGGTACAGGCCAGAGGTGCAGGGGCGGCGAGAGGATTCACCAGAGACAGAGTGGGGAGCAGAACAGGCAGATGGATGAAGTACACTGCTGAGGGGAGCAGTGGGCGGGTCAGGAGAGGTCTGCCACGCCATGTGGTCACTTCCGTGGCAGGCGGCAGGCGGGGATCGAACTCATGCGGAAGTGGCTTTCGATTCTTAGTGCTGTGCGTTAACCCGCTGCACCACCAGGGAGAGCCTCCCTGGAATTCTTAACCTGCGCGTACTCAAGTGACTTGACTTACTCTCTTATCCAGGGCTTTGCCCAAATACCACCTCTTCCGCACGACCTTCCTTGACCACCCACACTCAGCACATCCCAGTCCCTTTCCTTGCTCTTTTTCTCCATGGCACCTGTTATTCTGTGACATTCCTCTCTTATTTATGTGATTGCTTTCCCACTACTGGAGGGAAGTCAAAGGGAGACAGGCTTTTGTCTATCTTGGTCACTGATGTATCCCCAGCTCTGAACGCAAGGGCCCAGCACATAGTAGGCATTCACGCTATACTTGTTGAGTGAATGAGCAACGATGGAGCATGCAGTCAGAAGGTGGCCGCCTTCTGCTCATTTCCAGTGTGCTGTTCTCCTTGCCTGGTTCTGGACTCCCTCCCTGGATCCCTCAGTACCAAGCCCCCCTCCAGAAAGACTCCCTCCAGTCTCTCAAGCCCTTCATTGTCCTTATGGGGGTGCCTGTGGCACTGCCCACAGTGCCTACCTTAACCCTGCCTGATGACCTGGCTGTTGCTAAGCAGCCCTCTGGGATGCTCAGTAGATACAGAGAGATGTGTGGGACCAGAAAGGCCTGACTGTGCTCCCTACCTGCTGGTGCCCTGGGTCAAATAAATGAAAACTCTGGGTCCCTTTGGTCTAACCTGTGCCATATATCCCCGTTCTTTCTTCTTGCCAGCTGTGCAGTCCTCTTCTTCTTTTTTTAAGATTTATTTATTTATGCATACAAAATGGGGTACATGCCAGAGGTGTAGGGGCGGTGAGAGGATTTACCAGAGACAGAGTAGGGAGCAGAACAGGCAGACTGACAAAGTACGCTGCTGATGAGAGCAGCGGGTGAGACTGGAGAAGTCTGCTGCGCCGGTGGGTCAGCTCTCTGGCCGGGAATCGAACTTGTGCTGAAGCGGCTGCGGCTAGCTTCCTAGTGCTGTGCTTCAGTCCATTGTGCCACCAGGGAGAGCCCTCAGTTCTATTCTATTGGGTCAAAAGCTTGACTCCCCTTCCCCTGAGGGTTGGGAAACCTGTTGAGTGTTTTGTTTTGTTTTGTTTTGTTTTGTTTTGTTTTGTTTTGTTTAAATAGGTAAATAGCATGAAGGAGCTGTACCTGCTCATGGAGGAGGAGGAGTTAAACGCCCAGCATCCTGATAACAAGACCTGCGTGGGGGACAGCTGGACCCAAAACACGGTGTGTTTTTAGCTCATTTCAGCCCTGCCCATGTGTTCCTTTTTCTGTGTAGTGATCACATCCTGCTTCCTTCTGTGACCCCAGTTCTACACTGGGCACTGGAGCTGTGGAGAGTGACTACCTGGCCACTGGCCCTAGGTACTTGGTGCTGTGGGGTACAAAGTCACCCCAGGACAGTAACAGAGGGCCAGATGGGTAATATGTGAGAGAGAGCAATTACTTCTGTTGGGAGTATAGGGGACAGTATCATAGAGAATGGGATCACAGGTGGTGGGTTTTGAGAAATGAGTAGAAGGTTGAATGTTAGATTGGGGACCAAACTAGATCAAGAGACTGTGTGTGCAGAGGTGTGGCAAAGTATTCTGGGCCTGCTTCTAACTTGGATGTACGTAGTAGATGCAAGGACATCAGGCTGTATGTCAGGCCTAGGATCAGAAATCAAGTCATGGAATAGAGAAAGCAGCAGGGTCAGGCTCCAGAGTCATGTGCAGTGAGTGACTTTGGATATGGGTGAGGGCAGGATTTAGACCCAGGAATGATGATTGGGGCCCTGTCAGGCAATCAGGGAGGCTCCATGCTTTGGACTCCCCATCTGGCTTGAGGCAAAGAGAACGCCCAAAGCCTGGAAGTGCACAGCCTTGAAGAAGCCAGCACCCAGCTCAGATTTAGGCTGAACAGTTATTGCTGTTGTGCACAACTGCAGGGTTGTGTTTATATGAGACTGGGGTGCCTGTTGGTCTAGGAGGTGGCCGGAGCTGGGCTTATCATGCCCATTTCCAGGGCGACATGACCAGAGAGGTTGTGGGACTTGCCTGAGACCTGGTAGACCCTCAGCTGGACTCTGGGTGAGTGTGTCCAGCCCAGGCCTCTCCCCCATGCCTTGGGAAGCTCTGACACAGGCCCTTGCTCCATCCACAGCCTAACGAGTACATCAAGACACTGGCTGACATGAAGGTGACCCTCAAGGAGCTGTGCTGGCTGCTCCGGGATGAACGCCGTGGTCTGACCGAGCTTCAGCAGCAGTTTGCCAAGGCCAAGGCCACTTGGGAGACAGAGAGGGCAGAGCTTAAGAGCCATACAGCTCAGGTGCGTCTGTCAGCCGTCAGATCTGGGAGCAGGGTGGCTGGAAGCATAGGAATGAACCCCTCCATCTCACTTTGCTGCCCAAAGAGGGTGAGAGATTCTCATAGAGTCACACAGCAAGGGTGACCTGGAATAGAGGGGACCAGGATTCAGTGGACCAGGCAAGAAAGCACAGACATGGGGGTATGGGGACTACACAAGAACCTTTCCTGTGCCATGGGCCCACAGGGAAGCCCAAACACTTAATTGCCTGTCTGCACTTGGTGAGTCTACAGGTGGATCCTGCTGCTGGCTGTCCTCATTCACTCCCGCCTCTCCTAAGGAGGGCTTCCTGCACCCCCTGCTCTGTTTTACTCCCTCGTCTCAAACTGGAGGACTCCCTTCCTCACAACACCATCTGACCAAATTAGCTTTAACTGGAAACCTGGGTGTTAGGTCTCTGCTGTGTGTCTGGAGGCAAATTGCTGTCCCTCTCTGGTTTGAAAAGTGACTGAGTGGGATTCCTCTTAACTGTGCTCTGGCCATCCCTGCCTGCTGCCTGATTCTGTAGGGTCTCCATCCTGCTTCTGCTGCAGGCTGCATTCCCAGGCATCATGGGCCCCTTGGGAATGGGTACATTGATGATCTCTGCTGGACAAGTGACAAAAAGACACAAATGAGTTAAGTTTCTTTCTCGAGGTCACCCAGCTAGTAAGCAGCAGACCTGACCACTGCCCTCCAAACCGTTGCTCTCCTGGCTTCCCAGTACTGCTGCTCTCCTCCTGACCCGCCCTGCAGACCTCCCACCGTGACCCCATCTCCACCTTCCACAGCATGTGCTATTCTGACTGCCCCTCCCCTGAGAATCTGACTGCTCCTGAGGGTTAATGCCCAGACCACAGCTAGGCGGAGTGTGGAGTGCATTGATTTTTTAGGTTACATATTTACCTCCTGCCACCTTGATGCTTGGGGCTGAGAAACTGTCACACTGAAGTGCTTCCTGCACACATTCATTACGTGACTGCGTGCACATCCCAGCGCAGAGTTGGGTTGGGGGTGGCTGGGTGGTGGCACTGTAGGGCCCAGGCTCTTTAGGAAGGTAGGTAAAACTCATCCCCCCAAATTAATTCCATACCAAGGTAAGAAAAGATGGACTTCATGAGAAGCAATGGCAGGGGAACCTCTTTCATTTTGTAGCTCTGTGACCCGAGACAAATAACCTCTGAACCTCTTCCTCCTCCGTAAAGTATCATGAGTAGCAGTTGTCTTGCTGAGTTTCCATGGGGATGCTGAGACAATGCCTGAAGAGTCCTTAGCATGTGTGTCTTTAGAGAGTGCCACAGCCTTGCTTGTGAAGAAGGGTTAGTTCGGCATGGGAGATGAGAGGAGCCCCAGGAGAATTCTTTCCCCCACTCCCTTCTGCTGTTGCAGAGCAAAGGACAGTGGAGGGGGGTGCTGAGAGGAGGGGTCTCCGGCGCCAGATATTCAGTTTGCTCGTCCTCCGCAGATGGAGCTGAAGGCTGGCAAGGGGGCTGGGGAACGGCCGGGGTCCGACTGGAAGGCAGCCCTGCAGAGGGAGCGTGAGGAGCAGCAGCACCTCTTGGCTGAGTCCTACAGTGCTGTCATGGAGCTGACGCGGCAGCTGCAGATCAGTGAGCGCAACTGGAGTCAGGAGAAGCTGCAGCTAGTGGAGCGGCTGCAGGCTGAGAAGCAGCAGGTGGAGCAGCAGGTAAAGGAGCTGCAGAACTGCCTGAGCCAGGTGAGAGAGCTGTCTCCAGTCCAAGATGGCTCAAGCCATGAGGGGCGTCACTGTATGAAAAGTCTGGGGAGGTACTCCTTCAGGTATAGCTGGATCTAGGTGCTCAGAAAATGCAAACAGAAATAGGCCTTTCTCTCTGCCAGTCTCTCAGCCTGTTTCCTTTGTGTTTTATTCTTAAGCACACTGTCCTCAAATATGAGCACTGTTAAGTCTTGTGCTCATACCCTTACTGCTTAGAAATTGCACAGAAAAGTTTGCTTTTCCACGTGACTGTGATTGGCCAGTTGTGAGTCATGCCACCCTCTCTGGATCCTTTCAAAACTTGGGAACTCAGGAAAGAACCAAATATGGCTCCCTATGGAATAATTTGATGCAACATTGGTGGGGTGGGGAGTGGGTGGGTAGGAGAAGCAATCACTGATCATTATAGCCCCACTGCAGATCACATCATGTACCCAGCTGCCACCCAAGCTGCAAGGCCCCACTTCTTGTTGTGAAATTTCCTTTGTTGTAATTTTTATTTTAATTACATGAATTAGGACTTTATCTTTTAGTAAGATATGCAAAGCATGCTACAATCCACTTTCTTGCTCTTAAAATTTATGTCCAAGGATTTTTTTAATCTTTGACTGAACCCTAGCATATATGTTGTCTACACTTTATGTCTTTCATGGAAAGCTGCTCTTTCCTGACAGTGCTAGGGATGATTGCCTTCAGTGTAAGTGCTGCTTGCTGTTCTTAGTATGAAGACACTATGATTGATTATTCCATATTGACAGAATAGATATTGTTTCTAGTTTTTCACTATTGATGGCTTCATTGACCATCCCCACACATGCATGAATTATTCTGTAGGATAGATTCCTAGAAGTGATGCTGCTGGGTCTAAGGACATCTCTACCTTAGTATTTGCTGGAATCTACCAACCCAACCCAACAGAAAGGCTTTGCCCAGTTATATTTGCACAGGCAGCACAGTGAGAAGAGTCCGTTTTGCTTTATTTTTGCCAGTTTTTATGATGACCAATATTTAGTAGTACCTGAGGTCCAGGACTAAGCTACCTTGAGGTGTAGCTAGACCCAGGTACCCGGACAATGAGGTCCAAGGTAGCAGCTCTGTCAGGTGTAGGTGGATCCAGAGATTCAAAGAATGAGTATAAAATGCATTGTAATTGCACTTCTCTGTTGTCAGTGGAAGGAGAGCCTCTTTTCATGACTATCGTTCATTTGTACTTTCTCTTTCTTATAATATCTCCCCTCCCCCAGCAGCCCTGCAAGGTCACTAACCCCTTTTTCAGATGAGGGAACTAAGACCAAGATGTCTACCCAAGGGCCTCAGTGAGGGCCAGAACTGGTATCTGGTAAAAACCATCAAATCTGCAGGGTCCTGATGCTGAGCCTTAGCCACCCCCAAGGGGCAGAGCTCCTTAGGGCACCCACTAGGAGCACTTGCTTGGTGAGTGTAGACAGCATCCAGCGTCAGAACCACCGCATCTCATGTGATAAGCAAACAGATGCATCTTTGGCATCATCAAACCAAAGTCCTTTTTATAAAACAGTATCTCCTTTATTTCATTAATTATTTTTTGCATAGAAGAACTGGGATGCAGGCCAGAGGTGCAGAGGGTGAGAGGACTCACCAGAGACAGAGTGGGGGTCAGAACAGGAGGATTTACTGAAATACACTGCTAAGGGAGGCAGTGGGTGAGACAGGCCTCCTGGTTTTTCAGGACTGAAGGTTTTCTGAGACATAGGATTTTCAGGGTTCAAACTGGGAGTGTTCTGAGCAAATTTGATGAGTTGGTTACACATGACTTATAAGGGATGGTGGAAACCAAGGTCAGGGAGGGGAAGAAGCCAAAGAAGGATGTGCTTTCTGCGAAGTCTGCCTTCAGCTCAGTCTAGGAGAAGTCTCAGGAAGTGACTCATAGTTTATCACCTCGAGGCAAGGGCAGAGATCAGCTCCCGCCCAAAGGCAATCCTGGAGACAGATTGCAGCAGATGGGGCAGGCCTCAAAGTCCTGGAGCTGCTACTTCTGCTGTTGCTCACCTGCCCAGCTGTGGCTGATTTCCTTCCCTTCCTCAGGCTGGATCCTCTGGCCTGGGAAATGGAAATAACAATAGTAACATCTACCACATGCAGTTGCTGTGAGGATTGAATGAACTAATGTGGTAGTAAGTGGGTTCCATCACATGTCCCCTGGAGGTTGATGGGGCACCAGGAGGGGAGAGAATCAGAGGCCACCCCAAGGTCTAATGGGAAAGGGGAGAGAGCTAGTATCCAGCAGTGATGGCACTCCAGAGGGGCTGCGGGGTATCAAGGTCTGGTATTTGCCATCCTGATGTGATTTGACTGCCAGTCAGCTGATGCCGCTGTTCCAGGAACTGTAGAAGAGTCTCCATAGAACAGCCATTCCTTATTAGGTATAATGACCTCTCCAAGGACACTTGTAAGTAGGTGCTTTTCTTATCATTCTCAAAATCCACCTGTTGGTGCCCACCGGGAAGGTGGCTCCTAGTTCATGATCTGGGTCCTCAGGCTGTTCAGTGGAGCCTGGGGAGGACCCCACACAAAGCAGGCTCCAGCTTCACCAGCTTTGCCTGCCACCGACCTGCCTTCTTGATCTTTGCCCAGCTGCAGAAGGCTGCTGACCCCTGGGTCCTGAAGCACTCAGACATGGAGAAGCAGGACAACAGCTGGAAAGAGGTGAGTGTGTAGTAACTGCCCATGTCTAGCTCCACTCAAAGTTTGGTTGCCATCACACAGAGGGTGCTAATCCTGCCCCTCTGGGCATATTCTTACCCTTTGGACTCCCCAACCTTGTGGTCTTTATTCCAGTTTGTGGTTTGGGAGTTTTGAAGGGCCCCCTCCAGTTCCATCCCATTCCTGGAAGAAAGATTGGGTGTATTTCTGTTCTTTTAAAAAAAAGATTGTTTGTGCTTAGAAGAACTGGGGGGTAGGCTAGAGTTAGCAGAAGGAGAGTAAGAGGAGTGGAGAGCACAGCAGGCGGAGCTACACTGCTGATATACACTGCTAAGGGGAGCAGTAGGCATGACAGGAGAAGTCTGCCACCCCTCGTGGCCAACTCCCTGGCCAGGGATTGAACTCAGGCCGCAGTGGCGACAGCATGATAACCCTGGGACTTAACCCTTGTGTCACCAAAGAGGTTTCTGTTTCTGTTCTTATCTTGCCCTCTTTGTGCCTTTGTGAAAAGCAGGGCCTCTAAATAGCTGTGTGATCTCGGGTATGTCACTCTCCCTCTCTGGGCTCGTTACCTCACTGGTAAAATGAGAATCACATTCTCTGCCTTGTCCCAACTCTATTGTGGAAATCAGTCCTGTAATGTTGGTACAGTTTGCTCCTGAGCCTCAGGTGTATTGATCATATAGCAGTGCTCCTAGGAACCAGACAGGGACCACACAGCCCCTTGGTATCACGCACTGAATCCTTATGACAGCCCAAGGAAGTGGTATGTGAGTAAGGAGAGTTGGTTACCAGCAACAAAAGGATTCTAGGGAATTGAAGCAGGAGATGGTTTTATTTGGGGCTCAGGAGGGCTGGTGATGCAAGTTCCAAAAATTGGTACAGGTCCTAGGAGAATTGCGCTGGACCAGGCCGAGACAGGCAGGAATTCTTGGGTCATTGCTGTCACTTGCACCTCACAGTGGACATGTGCTGCTTTATCTCTGTCACCACATCCAGAGTAAGCTTGCAAGGGACTCTCTTCCTTGGGGATCTCTCTTGGAGCCCCCATTAGCCACGCCGGAATCACACACCCACGGAGGGTTAGACACACTAGCCAGAAACTGATCAATGGGATTCTAGATCTGTGCTGACCTTACTCCTGTTTTACAAGAGGAGCCGGGGTCACTCTTATGCTGACGTCTTGTCTCCGCCCCAGAGGTAGAACTGACCCTTCCTGTCTCTCTTCCTTAACAGACACGCAGTGAGAAGATCCACGACAAGGAGGCTGCTTCTGAAGCTGAGCTTGGGGGAACCGGCTTAAAAAGGTGCTGGTACCACCCCCCTGTCCCGCTCAGCCCTGCAGCCCATCCCCTGTCCCACACTGCACCAGTCCCAGATCTTTGCCTCTTCTCCCCTCGCCTGCTCCTGCACCATCTGCCTCTTTCAGCAGAAATGGGAGAACACCTGCATAGAGTTTGTAACAAGCCCAAGTCACCCAGGAGCTTGACAGCTTGGGACAATGGGAATTTCTGCCTGGAATTTTTTTGTTTGCTCCATTCTGGCCATGGAAAACTGGAGTCCCCAATTATCCTAGTGGCAAAGAAACTCAAGATCCTCTTGGGGTTGCTTCATCTGTCTCTGTAGTTGGGAGAGTCAAGCTGGACAGCCCTTCCTGGGATTATTGAGTAGCATCTTCTGGGTCAATGCTGTGGCCAAGGACACTCCCAGGAATATGAGGGCCATTAGGAAAACCATGAGAGGTGGAAGGCACTGGCGATGAGAGCAGCCAGAGCCAGGAGCCGGGGCAGGCTTTGGAGCCAGCGTGCAGGGTTTGAATTCCAGCTCTGCTGTTTTGCCCTGAGTAACGGCCTTGGGTGGTGCTTCCCACCCATCTCGTCTCGTTGGTATAAGTGTTACCCTCTAGAGCTATCTAAGGATGGGGGGATCTGGCATGTACTAGACATATTTAGTCATCTGGCTGTGTCTGGTGGGTCTTTGAATTCCTCATTCAAGACATGGGATAGAGACAAGAATGTTAGGGTTGGTTGTAGCAAGAAAACAAGAGGCTGAGCTCCAGGCTGAGCTCCAGGGAGACTCTCTTCCGAAGGAGTTTCCCGGACTGGTGCAGAAGCCCAGTGTGCTGGGGTGTGTATGTCATCTTCACTAACACTGCTCTTCTGCCCTGCTTTTCCCAGGACCAAATCAGTTTCTTCTATGTCTGAATTTGAAAGTTTGCTTGACTGTTCCCCCTACCTTGCCAGTGAAACTACCCGAGGCAAGAAGCTGCCAAACAACCCTGCATTTGCTTTTGTGGGCACGCAACCTGTGGACCCAGAGAAGGACACCCAGGAACAGCCGGGGCTCTCTGCAGCGGGCTGCCGGGAGCCGGTGGGCAGGCAGATGCAGCGCAGCTACACGGCTCCAGACAAGACAGGCATCCGAGTCTATTATAGCCCCCCGGTGGCCCGGCGCCTGGGCGTCCCCGTGGTCCACGATAGGGAGGGAAAGATCATCATCGAGCCCGGTTTCCTTTTCACCACAGCCAAGCCCAAAGAGTCCACGGAGGCCGATGGGCTGGCTGAGAGTGCCTATAGCCGGTGGCTCTGCAATTTCTCACGGCAGCGCCTGGACGGGGGCTCAGGGGGTGGCCCCTCGACATCTGGGCCTGGCTTCCCCCCAGCCCTACATGACTTTGAGATGTCAGGCAATATGAGCGACGACATGAAGGAGATCACCAACTGTGTGCGCCAGGCCATGCGCTCCGGCTCACTGGAGAGGAAAGTGAAGAGCACTTCCAGCCAGACGGTGGGCCTGGCCAGTGTGGGCACGCAGACCATCCGCATGGTCAGCGTGGGCCTGCAGACTGACCTGCCCCGCAGCAGCCTGCACAGCAAGAGCTGGTCACCCCGCAGCTCCTCACTGGTGTCTGTGCGCAGCAAACAGATCTCCTCCTCCCTGGACAAGGTACACTCTCGCATCGAGCGGCCATGCTGCTCCCCCAAGTACGGCTCGCCCAAGCTCCAGAGGCGGTCTGTGTCCAAGCTGGACAACGCCAAGGACCGCAGCCTGTGGAACCTGCACCAGGGCAAGCAGAATGGCTCAGCCTGGGCCCGCTCCACCACCACACGGGACAGCCCTGTGTTGAGGAACATAAATGACGGTCTCTCCAGCCTCTTCAGTGTGGTGGAGCACTCGGGGAGCACGGAGTCCATCTGGAAATTGGGCATGTCTGAGGCCCGGGCCAAGCCTGAGCCTCCCAAGTATGGCATCGTGCAGGAGTTCTTCCGCAATGTGTGTGGCCGGGCCCCAAGCCCCACCGCGGCAGCTGGAGAGGAGAGCACTAAGAAACCAGAGCCTCTCTCCCCAGCCAGCTACCATCAGCCAGAGGGCATGGCCAGGATCCTGAACAAGAAGGCTGCTAAGCCAGGTAGCAGCGAAGAGGCCAGACTCACAGTGCTTCCCCAGGTGGGGAAGGATGGTGTCCCCCGAGATACAGATGGAGCCACAGTCCTGCCCAATGAGGTAGGTGGTTAGAGTCTCCCCTGTTTCTTCAGAGGTGGGGTTGGCTTATAAGGTTCAAGCTGTTTTGGTTTTCAAACTCAGGAACTATTGTCATGTGTTTCAAAAAGCTCTTGTGCTCGCCTGGAGTGAGGCGAGGAAGCTCCAGGTTGGACAGGCAGACGTGACGGCCACAAGTCAAAATACTGAGAGCTAGCGGACAGGCTTAGCCGGCTGCTGGGCACCAGATACCAGAGACTGCTGGCATCCCCTCCAGGGAAGGGGCATGCTCACTGCTCTCCTGCTACCTCAGGGTGTGCTGGAGCCAGCTTGTTTGGCCATGAGAGCCAGCCATGAGCATCTTTGTGTTCAGGACATCACCCTAGTACCTTGAGGTCAGCCACAATGGGAAGATTTACACCATGAAAATTGGCAAACACTACCAATCAAGGTTCTCCCCTCACTCCTGGAAAACTGGTCACTAACATTTGTCAGCATAACACTGCCCTCCCGCACCAAGACTTGTGTCTAATTGCTGTCCTTTTCTCTGAAAACTTTTTGCTGCACAAATCCTAGTACCAGTTTTGGATTTGGGTAGGGCTATGCACATAAAAACGCTTTGCAGAAAGGAAAGGAAAGGAAAGGAAAGGGCACTGGAAGATGGCAGAGGATCTTACATAGGTTCCTTAGGCCTCAGCAGCTTTTTCTGATATCCCTCTCTGCTCTCTGGAGCTACCTTTTCTCTGAGATCTTACTTACTTCTGTGTGTTTTTTTTTTTTCCTCCTCTCTCTGTGTTATATTTGCATGTGGTCCAGGTAGGCTGTCCCAGATCTGCTTTTATAACACCTCTTTGTATTGCAGAATTTATTACAGTCTGGAATGTTATTTGTAGGTATTTATTACTGCTCTAAAGGGAGAAAAGCAATAAAAAGAAAACTTGAAGAGGGATTACATCTCCTGGGAACTGGTCTCTGGACACCCCTGAATCCAAATTCAGAGCAGGTGCCTGATGGGCCACCCAGCCCAGTGCCTCCCGGCTCCTGCTGACTTTTCCCCTCCCTCCTTCTAGGATGCTGTCTGCGACTGCAGCACCCAGTCTCTCGCCTCCTGCTTCGCCCGGCCGGCCCGCTCTGCCATTCGCCACTCTCCTTCCAAGTGCAGGTTACACCCTTCAGAGTCTGGTTGGGGCGGGGAGGAGAGGGCAGTGCCCCCCAGCGAGTGAGAGGGCAGCTGAGCTCCCCGCCTCAACCAGCCCCGTTCCTGGATAGCGAAGGGAACCAGCAGAGAGGAGACGGGGTGAGGGGCCTGTACCCTTGGCTTCACCTCATCCTGGAGGACAGCAGCTGCACCACTGCCACAGAACTGCGTTCCCATCAAGGTAAAGCAGGGTTTCCTGCTGACCACTGGGTGGTGACCTCCAGCCTCCCCGGGGAAGGCAGCAAGCGGGAGAAAGACCAAATCTGGGCTTCGGAAGCCTCTACAGAGAGATCCATTGAGAGCCGATCTGTTGGGAGCCAATCTCTGGTCCTATAGGAGAGCCTTGCTTGGTTCTACACATGTCCACTTCTCAGAAAAACCAAGGAAAGGATACGCTCTGGCTGTGCCCCTCAGGGAAAGGGTTCACAGAGCTGTACCCTGCCAACCACATCCACCTTTCCTGAGAGGAAACCCCGATAAGAACAGGCTTTGCTCTAAGGCTCAGCTTGGGGTTTCAGGTGGGGCTGGGCTCGGTGTCATCCCCCAATCCTTCTTTCCCACTGTCCTCTCCTCCCAGCCCCACTGCCCTGGTGCTGCGACCCAGGGGGAATGATAGGGCAGTAGCCACTACCAAGTGTCTGCTGGAGTCCTGGATCTCCCTGCCTGTAGCTCGGATGCAGCAAGGACTGGAAGACGAGATGGGAATGTGTAGGGCTCAGGGTTGGGAAGACACTGCAACCGCCTCCTTTGCAAAGGTGACTTGGAGGCCCCAGCCTTTCTAGGAACTCACTGAGGACAGAAATAATCAGTCTCAAGATCTGTGCACAGATACATGCCTACATGCCCACTGCCTTGATTGCTGGGGCATCTTTCCCCAGCACCTTGGAAGGGTACCCCCACTGTGTTTACATTCTACGACTAGTGGAGGACAAAGATATTCCTGCTAAGAGACTCCCACTGGCCAGGTTAGGCCAACGAACACTCCAGTGCATCAGGACATGGTGGTAGAATAGAGCCTGGAAACACATTTCTTGCCTAGGCTGTTCATTGGATTTTTTTTTTTTTTTGCTATAAATATTTAAGGTGGTTTTACTTTATTTTAATAATTTAATTTACCCCAGAGTCCCCAAGGTAATTTATTGGAGGTTGAGACATGCATTCTTGCCACTGTCACAATGTGAGGTTTCTAACGCACTGCGTAGGTGGGGGGTCCCCCTTGCGAATGAGGCAGCTCTACAACCAAGCCTGGCTCCTGGTCAGGCTCAGATGCCTCCCAGGGAGCTGGAGGCCTGCAGCTTGCTCCCGGGATACCGCTGACCACTTGACTTCACAGCACTGCTCTCCCCTCAACACCTGGTACTGGCCCGACCCTGGCAGTCAGCTCCAGATGCTTACTGACAGGTGGAAGGGTCAACCCACATCACCGCCTCTGAACACCATTTCCCGACTCATTGTCCTCCTGCCTTCTGACACCTTTTTTCCCCATGAGTTAAACACTATCAAAAGTTTTACCAAGAGCAAGGAGAGCCCTCCAAGTTCCCCCAGTGAGGATTGCTGGAAGACTGGACTGAACTTGGAGAATGTTGTTTATTGCAGCTTTGCACGTGGACGGTCTCCATCCCACATCAGTTCTCACCTGCCAGTCTTTCAGCAGCCTCTCTCTTTAACTTTGTGGCCTTTTGCAGCTCTCCTTCCAGCCCCTGCTCCCTGTCTGTCCTTCCCCACCTGCCACGTGAGCTGCTTTTGCCATTGGAGGGGTTTCACGTGGCTCATTGCAGCATGGTGAGGAGGCCTCATAACCCTCCCCCTCTGAGGCTAGTGAGCCCACTTCACTGGCACTCATGCCCTTACATGCACACAAGCTGCCTTCCTATAACTGGCTGGCAGCCCAGAGTGGAAATACCGGGGTGAAGTGTCTGTGGAATTTCCCCAGCGGAAAGACCAAAGCCACTAGCCTCGCTAATCCCCCCAGAGCTCAGAGATGCCTTTGCACTCCCACTCCCAGTCCTGTCCACTCCCAGTCCTGCCCTTTCAGACTCACCCGGACCAATTACTCAGCTCCTCCCTCTGCATTCCCTGTCAGCATAATATAGAGATCACTCAGCCCCACCATCCCGCTTCCTTACGCTATAGTGACTTGTGTGGGCAGAGCAGGCTGGCTGAGGCAGCTCTGGGTCAGTCTCCTCTGGGATGCTGCTGCTTCCACCCAAGGGGTCAGGGGGCTCCCCAAGAAGTGTGTGTGAGGGGATTCACACCAGGCCACAAGCCATCAGAGGCCTTCTGCCAGCTCCCCAAGCTACAGAGCTGTGCGCTCATCTTTGAGGAGAAATCCTCTAGAGACATGAACCTTGCCACCTTTGGACCACTCAGCCTTACCGTCGTCCTCGTCCGAGGTTGTCCTTGCCATCTTCGTTGTCTCAGCACCTGGCCTCCTGGCCAGCATCAGAGGTTCCAGATCTTGGTTTTCGGTAAAGTTCCAGTTTCTTCTTTCTGCATGCCACTGTGCAAGGTCACTTGTCACTGTTCCTATAGAAATCTCTGGATGTGGGGTTTGATGGGGTTGAACATGTTACATGTAAATATTGGTTTGGTTTGATTTTTTTTTAGCATTTTAATTAGTAATTGATTGTGTTTTCTTTTTTGGGGTGGGGGGATCGGTTTGTAAAAACTCTCTACTCTTTTGGAATGTAATTTCTAAGTTTGTTTCTTCAAATGCCTTTTAAGTCTTGGTGACATTCCTAAAGCAGATAACTGCCTGACCCTCATGGGGGTTTCCTGGAGCATTGGGGTCCCAGGAAGGAATACTACCCTTCACTCCTTTCTTCCGCTTCTTATTGTCCCTACACCTTTTAACTCCTGGCATCTCTCTCCTCCCATTCCTCCTCCTCCTCTGTCCTTCTTCCTCCTTTTCCCTCATCTCTGCTCTCTTCAGCAAAGTCCCAAGGATCTCTGGTATCTTAGTCCTGTATAAACTACTAGACTGGGTAAAATGGTGTTGACGCCAGTGGTGTCGGCACCATAGGGGACCGGTTCACCTAGTTGACCCTAAACTGGGTAACCTCATGTTTCTTATGTCTGCTTTCTTCCCATAGCCCAGTTATACCCTCCCAGGAGCAATGATGTATGTGTTTGAAATGAAAATCCAAGTGCTTTGGTGCGCCATTGGGTCTTAGGCCCTGCATGTACACACAAAGCATCGACATCCTATTCCCTGTCTGCCTGAGTGCCCTTTCCCCAGCAAAAAGAATTTTCTTTTCCCAGCAAAAGAATTTTCCCACTTACAAGAGGCTTGACCTTCTGTGAACTCAAAATGGGTCTCACCCCTTGAGCTCCCCAGGGATTCTCCTCCACTGGCTGCTCTCCCAGGTGACTAAGTGAAGGGCCTGAAGACCTGACCCTCTTGCACCCTGACCACCCCCGAGCTCCTGCACACCCCGTGCACCTTTCTTGGTTTCATCACTCAACCTGTACTCCTCTTGCCCTCCCAACTGCCAACCCCTTCCTCCCAACCCCTCCCATCCAGGTCTCCCACCTTTCAGCTCTACCAGTTCCCCCCAAGCTTCCACTACCTCGTCATCAATAATAATAAAATAATAATACTCCCATACCTACCCCAGCTAGAGCACTTTACTAGTTAGACATCACTTTCCCATCCCATGTTTCCCTCAAACCTCCAGGACTAACTCTCAGAACAGAACAGAGGTTAGTACTCCAGTTTTGTAAATTCAGAAGCGGAGGCACCTAACTAGGAGTCCAGACTAGAAACTGAGTCCACCAGATCTTGCACTCCAACTCTGTACTACTGACTAGGCAAACCCCCCACACCATTAGCGGCTTTTCTGGAGGCCGATATGTCACTGCCCAGTCCAGATGTATAACCAGAATTGTGGGCCTGTGGCTCAGAGGCAAGTGTGGGGCCCCCATCAGACTCTTTTGAGAGCCTGTCCAAAATGCAGCTTCCAGGGCCCATCTCAGCTTCTAGGCCAGGAATTTACATCTCTAACAAACTCCCGGGGGCTGGTCACAGAGTCCTGAGCACCAATTAGCCTCTTTCCTTTAACCATTATCCATAGACCTATACCTTACAGAGAACATAAACTCAACTTAGCTCAGACTTGGTTCAATTACTCTGAAAATTTCCAAAAAGAAGTGAAAGTAATTTAAATTTTAGTCATAAGACAGCAGAAAAAGACTTTTATTGAATATTAGTTCAATACAATAAAGTCAAAAAGCAAGAATTATTGTTCCTATTCCTATTGAATGTAGTTCCTGAAATCATGATACTAAAATTTATTCTTGAGTTTTCTGGCAGCCATGGTGAAAAAGAGGAACACATTAGGTCTTACAACTCATCCAGTCATGGAAAGCAAGCTTATCTGGCCTAGGAAGCACACTGTTCTGCCTCAAATTTATAAGCAGTGTTATTTTTTTCAAAGGCTTCTAAACCATTTGATGTTTCAATCGATGAACCTGTGATACAAGGATATTTTCTAAGTGATACAAGGATATTTAAAAAATTATAAATTGCAGGGCCACCCTGTTGGCATGGGGGTTAAAATCTCAGTGCTATCAAGCTACCCAGCTCTCCCCACAGTCTTGCCCGCTGTTCCCCTCAGCAGTGTATTTCATTACATCTGCTTGTTCTGCTCTCCACTTTGTCTCTGGTGAATCCTCTCACCTCCCTCACCTCTGGCCTACACCCTTATTCTTGTATGCATAAATAAATAAATCTTTAAGAAAAAAATAAACTGCTACCAGTTGACGTTGGGCCCAGATCACAGAACTAGGCTATGCCTCTGTTTCTCCAGCTATAATTGGGGAGAATGGCCTTCTACCTCGAGCCTATTTGGAAAAGTATGAGGGTTGACACAGTGGTCTGATCATACTCAATATCCCCAGGCCAGCCCCTCAGTGCTCTGGCCCTGGGGGTAACACGTTCCAGCTTCCACACTAGTCTTAATGAGAAAAGGGATTAAAAGATAATCTGGACCAAACTTCTCACCTTTTAATTGTGGTAAAATAAACATAAAGTTTACCATTTCAACCATTTGTATGTAGATTTAAATACATTCACAATTTGCACAATCATCACACTATCTCTTATCCCTTTTCCATTATCCCAAACTCTGGACCCATAAAACCCCATACCCCCCAGCCTTTGGAAAACCCTACTCTATTTTGTCTCTGAATTTGCCTATTCTAGGTACCTCGTATATGTGGAATCATGTGTCCCTTTGTCTAATTCCTCAATTTCTTAGATGAGAATCAGGCCCAGAGAAGGGAGTTGGCTCACCCAAGGTCACACAGCAAATTAGAGGTAGACCCAGGACCGGAGCGCAGGCTCCTGACTGCCAGGAAGTTCTGCATCCCTGCAGTGGATGAGATGCAACCGCCCTGTTCTGTGCCCTTGGCTGAACCCTCCTCTCTGTGAGGATTCTGTTCTCTCTTTACCTTCCCCGTCCTCTTTTATCCTCTTTGGAAGCTTGCCTCTCCACTGGTCATATCAGCAGACCTAGTGGCCCTGACATTGGCCCCTGGCCTGGGTTTCCTCTTCTGGACTCAAGGCTTCCTTGTAGCACTCGCCCCTCAGCTCTTTGAGAACAGAATGACCTCCCCAGCTCTTCCCCTCCCGGTGGATTCCCTGTGACCTCAGCACCCTTCTCCCTGTCCTCAGACTCACATTCCTATATGCCTGTGGTCTCCCAGCTCTGGTGTTTGCTTTCAAATCTGGTGGTGTTTCCCAGGTTCTATTCTATTTTGTATTTTCTCTCGCCAAAGGGGGCATCTTTCCCCACTGCCTCATGCAGCATAAACCCTGCCAACCCTTTTCTTTTGGCTTAGTCCCAGTCCAGATAGACATACTCCAGTCCCACCTTAGAGCCACATCTTGCTTGTCCACAGCCTCCCAGCAAGAACCCAGATCTTGTACTGGGAGAGTCTACATGTGTTGGATCCCCCTCCTGGCTTCTTCCACCCAGCCAAGGGCACAGAACAGGGCGGTTGCATCTCATCCACTGCAGGGATGCAGAACTTCCTGGCAGTCAGGAGCCTGCGCTCCGGT